GAGGAGTCCACAATTTTTGTACATGCATTGTTTTTTAGAGAACCCTTCTGTTTCCAATATTTATTCCTTAATTTGTTTTAAATGATTAGGCCTACAATTGATCTGAATGTTTTGTTGGAAACAGAAATAAAATAAAATTGAATTGACAGAAATACACGTACAACATATCTCAAATTTGTTAACAGCAATGAGAAACATCGAAACTGATTCCATTTAAATTTATTTAGAATCGTCTTGGAAATCATAGCGTAGTCCGGTGAATCATTTGATTTACATGAATCTCCAGAATGAAACCATACAATTTATCAATGTGCAGTTCATTTAAGCTTTTGTAAATGGGTCATTTCTTCAATGAACATTTCTGGGCGTGGATCATCCTTTTGTTTAAGTCTAGCTTTGAATGTTCGAGGTTTTTTTTTTTGTCGGCGCCCTTAAAAGAACGGAGAGGAGAAATATAGCATGTAATAACAAGGGTGGAGTCGTCTTTCAGAACTGAAGCTGAATAGAAGAATAGTATGAATATATTATTAACATTCATAATACTATTGTAATATTTCATACTACCACATTATATTAATCGTGTTAATTACTAAATATATATATATATATATATATATATATCACCTTTATATGGTGGCCCTGAAGGGACATCGCGAATGGACTAAATCGTGAAAAATATGCGATAAAATTCACGATATCGTCAATTTTATCGCATATTTTTCACGAAGAAATTCACGAAATTGACGATCGTGAACTTTTCACGATGAAATTGACGATATCGTGAATTTTATCGTGAAAAGTTCAAGATATAAAGTTCACGATATCGTCAATTTTATCGTGTACTCTATCGTGTACTCTATCGTGTACTCTCCTGACTGGCGCTTCGTAAACAAAACCAGCCCTAGCTGGGGGAGACAGAGAGAAGGAAAAAAGGGAAAGGGAAAGAGAAGATAAAAGGAAAGAAAGAATAATAAGAAGAAAAGAGGGAAACGGGGGGGGGGGGCGAAGGGCTCTTGCCTCCTCCTCACTCCCCCCCCCCCCCTCCCCGCCAAAAAAATAAATCAGAGAGATAGAGAGAAGGGAAAGGGAAAGGGAAAGAGAAGATAAAAGGAAAGAAAGAAGAGGAAGAAGAAGAAAAAAGGAAAACGGGGGAAGGGCGAAGGACTCTTGCCCCCCTCCCCCCCCCCCGCCAAAAAATAAATCAGAGAGAGAGAGAGAAGGGAAAGGGAAAGGGAAAGAGAAGATAAAAGGAAAGAAAGAAGAGGAAGAAGAAGAAAAGAGGGAAACGGGGGCAAAGGGCTTTTGCCTCGTCCCCCCGCCCCCGCCAAAAAATAAATAAGAGAGAGAGAGAGAAGGAAAGGGAAAGAGAAGAAAGAAAGAGAAAAACGAAAAAGAGGGAGAATAGGACAGAAAGGAAAAGAAAGAAAAGAAAGGAGGCAAGAGCCCTTCGCCCCTGTTTCCCTCTTTTCTTATTCTTTTTCCTCTTCTTTCTTTCCTTTTATATTTTCTTTCCCTCTCCCTTCTCTTTCCCTTTATGGCGGGAGGGGGGAGGGGGAGGTAAGAGCCTTTCGCCCTTCCCCCGTTTCCCTCTTTCCGTCTTCTTCTTCTTTCTTTCCTTTTATATTTTCTTTCCCTTTCCCTTTCCCTTCTCTCTATCTCTCTCTCTCTCTCCTATTTATTTGTTGGCGCGGGAGGGGGAGGAGGCAAGAGCCCCTCTTTTCTTCTTATTCTTCTTCCTTTCCTTTTTTATTCTCTTTCCCTTTCCCTTCTCTCTCTCTCTCTCTTATTTATTTTTTGGGCGGGGGGATGCAAGAGCCCTTCGCCCCCGTTTCCCTCTTTTCTTCTTCTTCTTCCTCTTCTTTCTTTCCTTTTATCTTCTCTTTCCCTTTCCCTTCTCTCTCTCCTTATTTATTTTTTTGGCGGGGGGGGGGTGGAGTGAGGAGGAGGCAAGAGCCCTTCGCCCCCCCCGTTTCCCTCTTTTCTTCTTATTATTCTTTCTTTCCTTTTATCTTCTCTTTCCCTTTCCCTTTTTTCCTTCTCTCTGTCTCCCCCAGCTAGGGCTGGTTTTGTTTACGAAGCGCCCGTCAGGAGAGTACACGATAGAGTACACGATAGAGTACACGATAAAATTCACGATATCGTGAACTTTATATCGTGAACTTTTCACGATAAAATTCACGATATCGTCAATTTCATCGTGAAAAGTTCACGATAAAGTTCACGATATCGTCAATTTCGTGAATTTCTTCGTGAAAAATATGCGATAAAATTGACGATATCGTGAATTTTATCGCATATTTTTCACGATTTAGTCTATTCGCGATGTCCCTTCAGGGCCACCATACCTTTACCATGCCAAAAACGCGTATCACTTTTATTATTTTATAATATATTGATATACACTTAATATGTGTTCTTCTGTGCATTTCTAATTTAATATGTACAAAAAATGTACAATTCACCCACACAGTAAAAACGCTGCTTAAAAAAGTGATGTTCACTTACAGTTGTACACTATCTTAAACAACAGTTGAACAAATTGTAAACAATGTTGCTCGAAACGAAAGTAATTTTGTTAAACATTCGCTGTTTAAAATTTAATGACTGCTATATTTACTACACGAGAGCTTTTAGACAGTGTTGTTTACATATGACGGCATGTGTCACGTGCCAGTAAAGTGCGCGTTGGCTAAAAGCTTTGTTTCACATCATGGCCGACCAAGCTGTAGAGGTATCGTGGATGAGTGGAAACGTCGCCGGACTGTCGATCACAAGGTCCACGGTTCGAGTCCCGCCGCGGCACTAATGTCCTTTGGCAGCCTAGCATAGCCTGGTAATGTTGGAGCGCCTTGAGGACCTTGCAAGGTCGGTACGTGCGCTATATAAGAATCCAATAGTATTATTATTATTTAACAACAGCTCCTTTTTAAACAACTTTCTTTAAACAACCCAGTTGGTGTAAAAAAAACCCACTGAACAACAGCTCCTTTTTAAACAACTTTCTTTAAACAACCCAGTTGGTGTAAACAAGCCCCACTGAACAACAGCTCCGTTTTAAACAACTTTCTTTCAACAACCCAGTTGGTGTAAACAACCCCCACTGAACAACAGCTCCGTTTTAAACAACCGTCTTTAAACAACACCGGTTGTTTAAATTGTGATTTTAAACAAGTTGTTCAAAATGTTGATCAACTAAGTGTTTAAACTTTAAACAACTCGAGTTGCTTAACATTTTAAACAACTCTTAGATCAGGTCACCCGTTAATCCAAAGTTGTTTAAACTTTTAAACAACATGTTCACTAAAATTTTAACTGTGCAGTAACGGCTGCAAGACAGATTTTTGATAAATATACCATTCAATAAATATGGACTCAATCAAATAGGATAGAATGTGGTTGAAAACCTCAGATCTAACTGAACAGCTGACATTTACTGGTGTTAAAAGGCCATCTTGTCGCATGCAGCAGGCAGTTTGCGAGCCAATAATCGGCTCATTACCATACGAGACGACCCAATGGATAATCCTTTGTTTTAAACTAAAAACATTATCTTGATCCCTTTACGCTAACGGGGCCCACTGACGAAACAATTATTAAATGGATATGGAAAACTATTTTTGAAAGGTTGGATTTTTGACATTAACACTAAGAATACATTTTGACCTATAATTGCGTTAATAGGGACTTTTAGATTTGCGTGGACTGATACGTGTGACGTCCATTCAAGGCAGTGCATTAAAAGGACGTCGATCGTAGCATAGACCTATTGTCTTGGTGCGAATCTAAAAGTCCCTATTGGTTGGTTACATGCAGCATGACCTTTAACAAAAGCAAGCACTAAGACTGTCAAACAAACAGGCCACCCTCACCCAACCGGTTTGGTTATTTATAAAATATTCGTAGCAAATCAATGAAAAATGCTTTTGTTTTCTTATTGATAAATTCGAGAAAATATGTACATCCAGAATTCCAATCTTTGTATGCCGCATATAAACAACTTTGACTTTGAACAACTTTTAAAAATAGTAGGGCCTATAGGTCCTGCGAAGATCACCGTATTTATACGGGAAATGAATTATAAATTATGCGAGGCTGGATAATCTATCTGATATGATGTGAAGGCTAGTTGAAGTTTTTGTGCTGTAACATTATTCTAAAGCCCAAAGACAATCAATCAAATTATATTATTCTAATCGTACATGACTGTATATACTGGATGCTCTGCCCTTATAAATAGATACAAATTTGTAGATTAAAAAAAAATAGTCGAGGGGGGGGGGGGGGGGGGTAAGAGGACACTTTTTTTTTGTCTCGATATTTGAAAATTTGACATTTTGCTCCGTAGAGGGGGGGGGGGGGGGGTGCATGCAGGGGAGTGACATTGCTCGTAACCAGTCTCTTGGAAGTTCACCAGTAGATATTGATTTCTGATAAATAATGGTTAAGATAGGTGCAATGCTACTGAAACATTCTTTGAGAATTGTTGGTGTTAACCTATCTGGACTGGACCAGACGCCCTCGATCCGTGTATCAAGTCTTCGCAGAAGTTTCTCTACACCCTGAGCCGTCACGTTAATGGCTGGCATGGCTCTACATGTAGATCCTGGTAGTACAGTTGGTATGTTTCCACGATCCTCCCTTGTGAAGACCGATTCAAATTGATCATTTAATGCATTTGCTTTTTCACTTGCAGATGTAATTGCTATCCCATCTCTTGTGTTTAAGGGTGCTACCCCTGAAACAGTGTTGTCAGTTCTTGATGAAACGCCAAAAGGGTTTGGTATCACCAGATTTAGTCAGTATTTGCTATAATTTCTTGGGGGGGGGGGGGGCACTTTTTTTAAATTTTCCGGTGGGGGGGGGGGGGGGGACGATCCCCTTAAAAAAATTGAGGGGGGACCTGTCCCCGCCCCCCCCCCCCCCCCGGGGGATCATTGCCCCTGGTAATAAACATGAATCATGTGGCGTCTACCTCACAAAGTTTTTTTTCTCTCGATAATTTTCACTTTGGCGACACCATCGCCAGAAAGATCGTGCTGTTGTCAATATTTTCCCCGACTGAAGATTCACAAGAATGGCACATCTTTCAACGAATCCCGCTGATAAAAACCGGTCAGTTTGTTTCCATATTTCTTTCTGAATCGAGACGTCAATTATTTTTGTAAAATCTATATAGGCCTAGAACTTATTGTTCATAGATGATTACGAACTTCCAGCTGCTTGATTTAGGATATTTAAAAGTGTGGTCCCATACCTTGTTCTTAATGTCACGTTTTTATCTTGTGCAGTCACCCCAACCCAATTCCAAATAATGAGAAGTCAGTAAGTCACAGTACTACAGCTACAGTCACACATGAGTTAAAGATCATTGGTTAAAATATATATTGATGACCACTCATAGCATCATCAGTATACTTTTTATGTTTGTTGTGAATCCCTTGAGAAAGTGTTTTTTATAAGACTTTGTTATTAATTTTAGGAAAAATACATCAAAAAAGATAAGAAAATTGACACGAAACAGAAACAGGTAAGAAACCACTCCAGCAAAGCATAGAGAGTCAATGCGTATTGAACTCTTGCACTGCATGTATTATCAGTTCTAACTTCTGGGGAATTGGTACATTGTGATCGTTGTGTTCATTTTTTGGTCGCTGCGAGCGATAAATAGAGGTGGGTGAATCAAGACGGTTTCGCAAATGTTGGAGTAACTAGACGCAACAGAGAAAAATTGGGCTCAACTTCTTCAGTTTGGATGCCTCCGCCCACCAAAGGTCTTGCCAGAGCCATGTGCAAGCTGTGCATGAAGTATCCTTAGTCTTTAGCACTGAATCGGGTACGAGGTCCATACTGTTTATGGTTGGTGTATGACTGTATGTAGGAGTGATTTAAAGTAAAGCCCCACATAAAGTAGCAAGAATTGGTCAAAGTCCAGCCTTGATCATTCTCGTAAAATTGGGAAATGAGCATTTAAATACTTCATCTTAAAAAATGAAAAAAGAGCCCCCTGAATCAACTCATTTAGCAATTTCAAGTTTTAATCAATATTGATGTTTAGTTTGGCACTCTAGTGCACCAGGGAATTTTCACCATATCCGGCTCATAACTTCAGGAAAGACACCACCATTTTCTTTTGAGTTGGACTACAATATATATGACAGAATAAATAATCACTCTACCTTTCTTAACATTTTCTCATTTTTCCTCTCAATACAGATGGATCTGTATCTATCCAGCATACATCAACAGCAAGAAAACTGTTGCAGAAGGGAGAAAAATACCAAAGGAAAGAGCTTTAGAGAACCCTACTCTTGCTGAATTGAGAGATGTCTGCCAATCAGTCGGGTTACCCGTTGCAATGGAAGTAAGCATTCTCATTACTGACTTGTTACTTTTTGTACATGGCCTCTCAGATTTAGACTCAATGATTGAATGCTAAACCGCCCAGTGTAGATCTTCATGTACAAATATTTCAAACCACATGTAAATTTTGTACAGAAATTACCTTGTACATGCATGTGCTATTCAGAATGTTCAAGTTTAAAAGCAGTGCAGATGTCCCAATTGAACTGATATTTGCTCAGGTACAAACTCACTTTTCCTGAAAGTGTATTTATGTAGACACATAAACACGCATATCATTTTCAGTCTGCTGTTTTTTCCTGCTCTAATGAAACAACAATATTATTGTCTTTTGTTAAAGATAATCTGATGTATTGATAATTATTGAAGTTTACTGAACTGAGATGAAGTTGAGCTTTGGTAATGCATTTACCGGTACACTTTAAAAGAAACATTGAAAGCATAGGGAAGCTCGCTGATTGTGTAGAATTGCTATGAACTCTGAGCTTTGAGAACTGAAGAAAAAAAATGAGAAAAAGTTGACTCTATCTTCCTAAAAGTCACATTTACTGCACAGAGAAATATGTGCAGTCAGCGGGTCACATGTACAAAGTAGATATGTGGCACGAGAGTATGGTGCAAACATATCAGTTGTTTCTTATCCTTCTTCAAATGTGAGAGCAATTTTTGAATAGCAATCCTTTTTAGGGAACATTTCAAATGTGGCTTTCTTCCAACCTGAAATGGGTGAGCTCACAAATTATTTTTCACCTTAACCATAACTCAACCGTCTCTTTAAAGCCAACTACTAATATATTTGAAATTGAATGGTTATGTTTATTTTCCAGGGTTCTAAGATGTATCCCAGAGATCAGAACAGAGATCCAACCTTTAGAGGGAGAGTTAGAGTTCAGTTGAAGAATGCTGACGGAACTTATGTCTTAGAGCAATTCAAGACTAGTAAGTTTATATATATATATATATATATATATATTTATCCAAAATATTTAAATTTCCAGAATATTTTATTTTTCAAGAGAAAAAAAATACTGAAAATGTGACTTCAAGTAAAAGCAAACAGTCTATTGTTGATGCATGCATAAGGAAGGTTAAAGATTATAACAGACTGATTGTCAATTAACATTTTTGCTCATCTTTTTTCTTTCATGTACATGTAATACTTTCCTTGCAAGATTGAAGAAGAACAAAATCAATGAATTAAAATTAAATGTGTTTCTGCACATCTAATGAAAGCATGAAAATCAAGGGATAAGAGAATAGCATAACAAATTTCAATTTCAAATCTGTTGCATTAATCTTACAAACACATGCAGTGAATTCAGTCAGGACAGTAACATTCGTGATATAAATATGTGACCAGGCACCACAAACCCACCAAAAAGTTGCATGGTGTGGTTTTATAGTTAGAGCCCAGTAAAGATGTACTCGGTCAGCTTTGTCAAATTTGTAAAAGTGTTGCCTGAAAGATTATGCTTTCTTCTATGTAATTTCAAAGCTTGGAAGCACCGATCAATCTAAAGTGGTATTTGTCCAGTGTTTTGTAGGCCCATGATATTCTAGTCTTGAGGTTTGTTGAAAGTTTTTATTTCTTTATGACCCTGGTGACTTTTGAACTCCCATAACTTAAAAATGGCGTAAGACGTTGCATTGATACCTGGCAAAAATAAATGACAGGATGTGCTTTAATAGTTAGGGTGTCAAGTTTCAGAACAGCCTGATAGTCCCTTCACAGACATTTTTAGAGTTCTTATCCTTCTTATATCACCTAGCACAATACCTTGTATCCACACATGGGGTGATTTCAAGTTTGGTGTTAGTGTTAGTGTTAGTGTTTAGAGCAGTCAAGAGCTCTTAAATCGAGCGGAGAATTTGCTGATGAAATTAAGAGCCCGATACCGATATCAAAATCGATAGCTTAACACCAGCCGTGACGTCACCACATACTTGATTTTACGACGATGATTTAAAAATAGTTCATCAAAACTAAAGATATCATGAAAAGTACAGAATAAATTTACACCTATTTCTCTGGTCTTAGAAAATAACTAATTTTACACGAAAGAATATATGAATTACCTGTTTCACATATTTTTATTTGATCGTCAGACAATAAATTGGCGTCGTTCGTACGTTGACTGTGTGCGGGTACAACACTAACACCGAACTGGAAATCAACATTTGCTTAATCCCTAGGGGCTAGTGTTAGTGAATAGGACATTTGTACGTAAAATATTAACACCAGCCACAAAGGTCGGTTCAGCAGACGACAATTTTGCAAAATCGATAACACTAGCTACCGGAAGTTGACGATATTCAGAGGTCAAAGCCTTAACACCAGCTGATTTCCATTTTGGTGTTTAGGCTGGTGTTAGTGTTTATTAAACACTAACACCAGCCTTAAACACCCAACTTGAAATCACTCATTGCATCCATTCCATGGCTAATTCTCTTTATATGAAACTGCAATTCTCTTGAACAAAATGGAAAAACAAACTTGCAAACATGACTATGTGGCAATGCCATTGAACTGATTCCTAGTTCTCTGATTTTCAATTTCCCTATTTTGAATACTCGGCTCTGAGTACCCATGGTAGCAATTGTATGGTAAATGAAAATTGTTTCAAATAGATAAAAAACATATCACATATTGCAATAGAAATAGGTTTGAGTATGTTGCATGAATTTGTTTGTACACTTTATAATGCAAATGTAGAGCAAACATAGTCTACTGATGAGGATACCACATCCACATGGAATTAATTGAGTACATAATTTTCTTCATGAACACAGGACAAGATGTCATGTTCCAGCTCACAGAGCGAATCCCCATGCTCAAATCAAGAACTCAAAAGCAGGGTGGAGGTGAGCAGCAACCCCAGAGCAGTGCAGGCAAAAAAGGAAAGAAGAAGGGAAAGAGATAGTGTCTTTCACTATTAATGTAATATATATACATAGTGAGTAGCTAAAGCTAGAGAAGAGCAATAGTTGGTAGTTACCGTAATTAACATGTAGATTTGTAGCGAAGATTAGCTATGACATTTATGTCTAGTCTATTTTATTGTAACATTTAATAAAATTCAAACTTCAATTTGTAAAAGGGGTGAATATTAAACTGATATGTTTATTTGTAAGAAGAAGGGGGAGGGGGTAGGGTGGGAGAAAGATTAAACATTCCAATATAAAGGGAGGTCTGACGAATGGAAGAATTAAGAGGCAAAACTCTTGAAAATAGTTTGTTTTATTATATAATCTATAGTATCAGGTAGTCTAAATGGATCCTACGATCACTTTTACAAACACAAACATTATGAGAAAGCAAGTGCATTTATTTTTGTCTTTTATTTGTACAATTTATTTCTTCTAATTGGTGGTTATTATACTTTGGAAATGAGAACAAATGAGTGTATTCCTTTTGTTGGTATGAGAGGCTCTCACATTATTTGAGGAGAGCTAGATCACATCTCTTCATTGTATTCTGATACATTCAATGCGAGATACCCCAGTAATAACTGAACCAATATCACTAAAATGGCTTTTTCTTGCAGCAGTAGGAAAGCCCAATCCAAACCAACAGGTGTCTCATGTGATTGCCTGTAATTACATGTATGGGAATAAATCAGGTGGGGGGGGGGGGGGGGGGGGGGGGGGGGGGGAGGGATGCGTTGTCATCAATCACAATTAACCCCATCTCGTAAATCCAAATTTTGATTAATGATAAACATTATATTGTCTGAAGAGTAAACAGGTCAGATAAAATCTCCATTTCTTGCAAATACTCCTGAACTTTAAGGCAGTTCTTTGAAAGAAACTGAAAATATCTATAGTTCTTTTTATGCAACTTAAGAAATTGATGCATTATGTTGTAGATGCTGTACGAGAATATCCAAGAGCATTCCAAGAGATGATTCAATGTCTTATGTAAATCAGAGAGGTATGGGGTTGTCCATGAACTAAAGCAGGAATGTTTTAACAATTATGTAGCATACTTCACAGCCCCCAGTAAAGGCGGCCGACACTTCCATGGTCATCCCTCTGAATCGGTATATACATACAAAGTCTGTCCTTAAGAATGGACTTATCAAAGATGCATCCTGCATGGAGGCCCTCTCTTGGCAAAGTCGACTCAAAACAAAACAAATAGATGAACCCAACTTGTGACCGATTGGGGTTCTTCCAATCAATTCAGATCAGTAACAAATCTTTATTAGACATGAACCAGACTCAAATTTTCTGAACGGTTTACATTTATTTCTTGGTTTAATTTTGTTTTCTCTATGAATCAATAGCAGTGGATGGTTTTGAAAATGGATATATCTTGCTGTTGTAAACCAGCATAAAATAATTGCAAATGTCTTAATAGTTGTCCATACTGTACATCTTTGTGTATAATCTTGTGGTGCCTTATCTGGGCAAGTAAAAGGCATGTTGTCCCTTACATTACTGATCACATCAAAAACATGTAAAAATACCCGATGATCATGATAAGTTGATAGTCGTACTCTAGTCTAGTGGAATTAGACCAAGTATCAAGGAAAAGTATAGATTCAATGGTTATCATGTTATTAATTCCACGATCTTAGACTTGCCCATTTATGGGTTGAATAGAAATGGGAAAGCATCTTGGCCATAAGTGATGACGTGTCTAAAGTTGTTTTTTTCCTTCTGCTTAAATTCATTCTTCGAAATGGGGTTGTACTTTTGCAAATGTTCCTGTTCACCCATTTTACCATTCACAGTTCTTACTAGTATAGTTACTGATATTTCTGGAAGTCTATCCATCTCACATGCAGAAGAAAATACAATAAACTGAATCCATCTTGGGTATGTATTTGTTTCATCTCTGTTTTATTAGGTGTAATACTACATGTATTGTTCAAAGTTTAATACTCAACAATATAAAAAAGTCCTTGTTCTGGGGCAAATATTCAATTTTCAAACTCTTATCCTCCCCCCCCCCTAAAAAACCCAACATATTTCATTAAATTTGTCAACAATAGATCACCTGGATTGTCTCCCTTTTTTGATTTGCTAAATGAAAACTTCATGATCATGTTGATAAATACATGTATCAAACTAAAGGGACAACAAATGAATTCCCAAACAAAAACATGAAACTTAAAGATCATAATGTGTTTGTCTGGCTAGGCATGTACATTACTTTTCAAGACTAATGAGGTTTTATAATATAATATATATATAATTTCAAGGATTACTATATATAAAGTATAACTATATAGAGATATATATATAGAGCGAGAGATGGAGAGATCTTACAAGATTCCATGCGTAAATTGTATGAATTGCTAAAATTATGCAGGTAATTGTTTGATAATAACGTGCAATTTTTAATGATGTATGCTAAGCCACATACCGGTATTTTAAAGGTAATACAAAGTTTTGGTATAGGGTTATGAATTTGGTTCAAATAATCATATTGGAAGCAGATGCGATCCTACAGTATTCAGTAATCGCGGTTGAAATCGAGTCTAAAGTTATGAAATTGTAAATAATAAACTCTGTATGTTGTATAGCTCCTCTCAAGGTCAAGATATTAATCAAGCTATAAATCAATGTTTCTTGACTAAAATCGACCGATTAGCTATTTCTGTTTGGAAATTATATATCACAACTACATATTCTGAGATTTTGCAGGTCGCAGCTACCATTGTACGGCCGTAGGCGCTATTTGAAATTCATCCAAATTTACCGGGAGCACCGGTAACATTTTATATTCAATTTTTCTCGAAAGCAGAAGTGTTTTAGGGGCTAAAATTTCTTGTGCTTATAATACATCCACAGGGGCATTCAATTATATCAAAATTGTAAAGAATCACTATCCACCCAATTTTCAAAATTTCCCAAAACTTTGTATTACCTTTAAAGACCGTCAATACTACTGGGCCAGAAGGGATTTAGCCCACACAGCAAGGTCACTGACAGGTGGCTATCTCATTAACTCAGCTCTCAACTAACATAAGAAAAAGAGGATCATGGGGGACCAACAGGCACCGATTGGGGAAGTTTTCTATATAGAGGGAGCAAGTAGCTACAATTAGGACAGTGTGGCTTTAAGAAAGCAAATTCTGAATATGGATTTATAACACAAAGCATGGTGGCACATAACAAGCACAACAAGATTATTGACCAGACACATTTCCACGATGCAGAAGCATGTTCCAGAGAATATTACAAAGTTTGATACAGAGTAGATGTGCAAGTCTATCAATGACATTTTGTTAGAAATGTATTTAGAATACCCTTTTTTTTTAAATCAGAAATAATCCAGATAGCTTTATTCAAGTAAATTTTTTTTTGAACATTGATTGCGTAAAAATAGTGTTGATCTTGTGATTCCATAATCGATCATCAACCTATCTTTAATTATCCTTTCGTATTTGCAAATGGTAAGAGACTACAAACTACAAATCAAAGAGATGAAAACAATACATGGATATAAAGGAAGGCAGTTTGATCTATATTCAAAGTACCGGTAGGATGTTGAAAGCATAAAGATGTACTAAATTCTCTTCTCTATTTCTAGTTGACAAGATATATTTGATATCTCAATATAAGAATTTTTTCTTCTTTTTGTCATTTCAATTGACCCTTAATACACCATTTTGATTATCCCATTATTGATGAATGACATACAAATGTTATTATTAACATGTAATACACACCTAGAATAATATGGTAGATCATGCCATCTTGATATCTCAGAATTAAAAAAAAATTGTATTTGGTGTCGTTTCAATTGGTCATTAACAATACAATGACAATGACATATATCTTTCATTGAAATGTAATTCAGCATATGATGGTAAATCCATTATTTCAACAAACAAACCTGTTCATCAATACCTCCTACCGCAATTACGATGTTCCTCCCACACTGCGCAAGTCAGCACATTATGCGCTGATATGATACTGGGGAAGACGAATGGACAAGGTTTCTTCTAACTTCCATAGAGAATGTACAGCAGAGTCGACCAATTCCTTATTTTTCTAAACTGTGGTTCAGGTTTCATGAACCTCCCCCCATCCCCCCCCCCCCCCTCCCCCTCCCCTCAATGATTTGATGAGATCTATGTATATAGGCACCATCATAATCTGTTACTTATAGTTTACTGGTTCTGAAACTATTATTTCTATTAGACTTTCCAGTTTTCGACACATTGTATTGGCATGGGAACTGGAAGTTCCTTTGCCAAATATACCCATGGCTTGTGCTGCCCTCTATGGCCAAATGTTGTGGTAGCAAGAATTCCTTATAGATGATAATGCAATTAACCATTGACAACCGTACAGGAGAGAGTATTGTATTTGGAAATGTAGACATGTCCATGAATAACTGTATCAGCTCTTTGTCTCCGTCATGTGTAATGTTAGTCTCAAATGTGTGCAAATCGTAGAATTCTACCCACAGTGTCCAAATTTCTGAGTGAACTCTGTAAATTTGTGGAGCTCTGCCTGACTTATGGTCCCCTGGCTTGTACATAGTGCCTTGAGAAAGTCTTGTATGGTAATCTGCCTTGGTTGGACTAGCTCAGGCTGAATATCCCTCATAGATTGTTTAATGGAATCAGGCTCGGATTCATCACAGGGTGTAAACTTTCCATCTGATTAAAGAAAGAAAAGGTTATTAAGGAGAGATGCTCACTCATAGTCATACATGCATTGGTAAAAGTTGGGTTAGCACAGGTATAGGCATTCAAATCCTCATGCCCATGCAAAATGTTGAGATCAGAGGAACTCCTGAAACAAGTAAAAACAATATGATTAAATTGCCATGTTGTGATCGCAAAGGAAAATTACATACTAGCTGGATAAAAATAATAATAACATGAAAAACAGTGCTTATAACATGCTTTTCATCAAAGGCACATGCTTTTTCATTAAAAACTTCACAATTGATGCATATATAACCCACTAACTTAAAGCCCCACTGTCATACTTGTAGCTACTTGTACTCTACCGGTATATAGAAAACAATGCCCAATCCGTGACCATTGGTCCCCATGATCCTCTTTTTCTTATGTTAATTGAGAGATGAGTTGATGAGATATCCAGTGACCTTGCAGGGTGCTCTAATCCCTCCTATAAACTAGTACAGATAAGCTTTAAGAGAAAACAAGAGAGCATGTAAGAGTGGTCGCTTACCCAGCCCCCCACTCCAGGGTCGGAGGGACTGCATTTTGTTCCAAAAATATCTGGTAAAGGGGTACTTTGCGTGCGACAAAGTCCAGCCCGAGGATTGTAATAAAAGGGGGTGTATTTGACTTTTCACCCACAGATTTCTTTAAAAAGGGGGTTATGAAATATCTTGAATATCGTAGATAAGGGGGTACATCGACTTTGTTCTGGATTTAGAGGAGTCTCCAAGGTAGGAAAACTGAGCCCGCGAAAGGGTTCAGAATGTTGGCAATACCAAGATAGGGGGGTGCTTTCAAAGGGAGGGAACAAGCATTTACGCATACCTTAAATAACACTGGGGGAGGGGGGGGGGGGGGGGGGTCGCTTGTAAGGCGCACCTCCTCCTCTAATGTGCAGTCTACTCACCTGAGGCGTTTGCTTGGAAACCATACATTTTCATGAATATGGTTCTCGCCTAATAAGTTTTCATGCTGTGAACTGACAACGTTTCTGTTCAGTGATTTTCCTTTCTATTACCTCAAGCAAATACTTCCAAAGAATGAAGTGAACCCCAGTCAAATGGAACAGACCAGAATAATTAATATTTACACACTAAAAATCATCCAGATTGACAATTGCAACGGTCGGAGTTTATCCTTTAGCTCAGAGGCAATTAGGTGAATAGTGAGAATTTACAAAGGATTTTCAGAGACACGTGGCCTTGAGAGCTGAAGGGCATGACAACAAATATATATGACTGACTGAACATGCAAGCATGTATCCGTACCTTACTTTGTAATTTTTTTATAAATAGTTTAAATGGCGTGTATCATTCATTTATGAATATTTACACATAATTCAAGTTGCATAAACAAAATTAAATGGAAACAGAAGAAAGAAGGGAAAAAAGTAATCTACGCTGTTCAATTTTTCGCATCTTGTGGAGATTCCAGACAGGCTGTCAACATTAAATCATTGACCGTTTTGTGTGTATGTTCTGGCCAGCCCGGTTAGGAACATCGAACAGGTTTCTCGGCATGCATGCTCATGCACAGCCTATAGGCACCCTCTAATACTGCCTACTGTACCTGTAGTTTCTTTCCAGTGTGTTGCCTTTTGTACTTCCCGGACAGGTTCATAGAGAGCAGAGAGGATAAGATTGGAGAGGTCACTCCCAGAGAAGCCCTCTGTATTATCGGCAAATGAATCCAAATCCTCTGCGGAAAATACTGCACTGGAGGAAGCCGTGTTGAGATGAAGAATAGCTTTCCTTGCTTCTCTGGAATATCAAACATGAAGTTCATGAGGAATCTCTTAATCAAAATGCCTAAATATGCCTAATCCAGAAGTATGAATATTTCTACCAAACATTCCGGTAAATGAATTTCTTATTTGATAAAGAAAGGTCAAGAAGAAGAAAGGGGGAGAGGGAGGAAAGAAACAATTCATATATCTTATATCATATATCGTCGGTGGGGTGACAAAACATCTCAATTTTTGAAATTTTGATTTTTTTTTTCTTCATAATTGTGTACCTAATGGTCTACGACACCACCTGATAAATCCATGGAACGCCTCCTGTCTCGGTTTTTCACAAATTCCACACAAAGGACGGTGTCACAGCACTAAGTCTGTTGAGACAGGAAATGTTTTTCCGCTCTCCTGAAAATTCATGATTTTTGAGATACGAGGTTTTGTCACCCCACCGACGATATGGTTCTAGGCCAAATTATTGCTATTTTGCAATGGAGCATGATATACAATCAATCAATCATACAATCAATTGCTATTAAGCTTTTTGTTACAGGGCCCTCATGCAAATTATGTTCTGTTCTGTTTATTTCCATGACACAAAATTCCAGGAAATAAATTGAAATGTAATCAAAGTAGATTTGTTTTCAAGTAAAGAATATGTAATGGATAACCCCCAACCCTACAAGAAAGCCTGGAGCCATCATAATCCATCATATTTCTTTTCATGTCAGCAATACATTATCCATCTCACATATTTCTTGGCCGGACAGCACAGCATTTGATGTTTATCCCGAATTGTTCAAGTTTTTATACTTTATACCTGTAACTGCATGTGCATGATGTGTTCCGTACCTTTTAATATTACAGATTCGATAACACAATCGAGAAACATACCTATCAGGTAGATGAATGTAGATCCTTTTTTGAAATCTCCTGAGAAAAGCAGAATCAAGTTCCCATGGCCTATTGGTGGCACACAAGAGGAAGATCTTCTCCACTGATGCCATGTTATCTGCACCTTCCATTTGTCTCAGGAGCTCTGTCTTCACTCTCCTTGTGTGCTCTTCCTCCGAGGAGCTTCGACTCCGACATATACTGTCAAGTTCATCAATGAATATCACCTGCCAGAATAATTATCAATGAGAAATGACCAGATTAAGTCTTCGGAAACAGATAATATTCTCAGTTTTTGGAAGCAATACCTCTAGAATCTCTGACAAGCAAAAACACACACACACAAAAAAAGAAAAGAAAGAAGCCAATTATACACTAATATATTTTGTAATGCAAGTCAAATGGTCAAAAATGTTTTCATCCCTGTTTGAAAATGGAATTTGAAAAGGTAGTTATAATGATTTTCTCCTATCTGCTCACGCAAAAGAGAACATACTTTTTAGACAATTTCATTTTGTTTGCAAAGATAGATCCCACCTAGATTACCTTCTGTTTTGATTACATGTATGTCTCAAGTAGTGTAATTATTTGTTTATTTATAACTGCACGAAGCTCAAAACATGTTGCTTTTACAGTGAGTGCACTTAAAGAGGGGATGTTTCATGAAAGAAAGCAGAAATGAGTATGAAAGCGGAAATAAGTTTTTCAAAAGTGCTCACTGATCGTCCTTCTTGTTGTGTTGCATGGTGGAATAACTCCTTGATTATTCTGCAGAGTAAAAAAGAAATCAAGGAGACAAATTCTTAGTACCGATATGCAATAAATGTGAAGCTGCTCTCAAAGTTAGTTGCCAATTTGTATTTGGTTGATTACAAAGTTTGATATTTCTTTAAAAAAAAACTTTAATGAGATTTTCTTCAAGCTTTTCCTGATCTTTTTCTTTTATTGCCTGTTGTTATTATAAAACTTTTTGCAAAAATCATTATGAAGTATCCCTATTAGGAATTTATCTTCATGGACGTGTACAATATGATGGATTATTATCTAAACAAGGTTTTCAAGTGGTGCAATGAATCAGTGTATTCAATATCTTTAGCGCAGTACCTGGATGACTGACCAATATTGTTTTCGTATTGCTCAGTCATCCGGGAACTTCAACAAACGATATAGATATCACACGAAAACAAAGCCATATTTACAGAAGTCAAATATTGTTATTTCGCTAGTCAGCCTGATAAAGTCTTTTTATAGATAATAATAATGGTATTATGTGGCTTAATTTGTTTTTGTGTGACACAAGAATATATTGCTCTCGCTATGACAATATTGGACTCGTCTCCGACTCGTTCAATATTTTCATAGCTTGAGAAATATATTCTTGTATCACATTCAAAGCCATCCAATATTATATAAATAATTTTCTCTCTCTTTTTATGGGGGGGGGGGGGGGGACAGGGCCGAATTGATGAGAAGAAAACAATTTAAAAGAGGGAGAGAAACTAGAATGCTTGGTTCTTTGAGCTCTCTGTTTACATAAATATGCCAAACTGAAGTCCAAAATATGTAACAACATATTTCAGTGTACAGACAGATTCAAAGGTAGGACATTTATTCAAAGCACTACATTTTGAATTTTACATTATCTCCAGACTTAAAAAGACAGATGATCTCATTAACTGATTAATCTTTTTTAGTGAGATAATTGAAATACAATAAAAATTGGTTCAAGAATAACATATATATATGACAGGGAGATTGACAAGCAGTTTCAATTCAGAACAATGAAAACATAAATTTCCTGAGCATATATAATTAATGAAAGAAGAAATGAAAATTGTTATTATTTACTTCTCGCTCTCTCCAACCCAGCTGGAAATAAGATCAGCACTTGACACACAATAAAATGTAGAGTTGATTTCTTTAGATACTGCCTGAGCAAGCCTCGATTTCCCAGTACCGGGAGGACCGTAGAGTAAAATCCTTTTCCACGGTTTTAATCCACCTGTTTATTATCATACACAGAAATCATTTGCAAAGCTTTAAAAGAAATGTATAGCACTGCATATATATTGAAATAAATATGTGAACAATGCAATCACATCTATGACATGATTGGAACAATATATATCTCTAGACAGTACATTAAGTTTTTTTAAATTGCCCTAAGATTTAAAAACAAATTTTTTGAGATCATAGTAATGGGCATATGTAATAAATTAAGGTAGTTACAATATGTGTATCAGCTGTTATCTAATTTGCTCCAAAATCATTGTTTGTTATTTCCATATTTCATTATTAGTTATTTCCATAGTTTATGTCCGAAAATCAATTTCTATTTATTGTAAAGAATGAAAAGTGGGTGTACTTGAGTTTTTCTGTATCACTTCAATATTGTAATCAGAGAGGTTTTTTCAATGAAATAAATACCTACTTGTTAGCTATAAAGAAATAATAAGAATTATATAAAGAAAAAATATGACTTATATAAAGAAATGATATGAACTATATAAAGAAATAATATGAACTATATAACAAAATAATATGAACTATATAAAGAAATAATATGAACTATATAAAGAAATATATATATCCATAGTTTATGTCCGAAAATCAATTTCTATTGATTGTAAAGAATGAGAAGTGGGTGTACTTGAGTTTTTCTGTATCACTTCAATATTGTAATCAGAGAGGTTTTTTCAATGAAATAAATACCTACTTGTTAGCTATTATGTAAAGAAATAATAAGAATTATATAAAGAAAAAATATGTCTTATATAAAGAAATGATATGAACTAGATAAAGAAATAATATGAACTATATAACAAAATAATATGAACTATATAAAGAAATAATATGAACTATATAAAGAAATAATATGAATTATTACCCGTATCAGACATTCAAGCTGGTCATTTACAAAACCGTATTGCCCTAGTTTTCACTAGCAGTGGGAACGGAGGGGTATATTCTTTGTATTTTCCTTGGTCTCCCTGCTCGTATAGACTTTGCGTGTAGAGACGAGTGAAAATATAGTCTTGTATTGACCGCGCCATATTTTGTCATTTTCATTGCGCATCTATTAAACCTGCGCACTTTGCGCGCACTCTATTGTGACATAATAATCACACCAACTATTAAGGCACACTGTTTGCAGTGTATCGAAAATTCGTCAAGCACTGCTTGTTGACAAGGTTTGTTCAGTTCTTTGAAATTGTCATGGTTGATTTATGTATTTGCTCTAGATGTCTGATTTGGATAACAATAAAAATATTGACTGGCTTAACTTTCGGGAGATACCAACATTGCCCTCACAAGACCAATATTGCCCTCGTCTATGACTCAGGGCAATATGAGTCTAGTTTGGGCAATATAATTGGTATCTCCTCAAGGCCAGTCAATATTATATAATTATATAAAGAAATTATATAAATATGTAATATGAATTATATCAAGAAACAATATGAATTATAAAAAGAAATAACATCAATTATATAAAGAAATAATATAAAATATATATAAAGAAATAATAAGAATTATATAAAGAAACAATATCAATTATATAAAGAAATAATATTAATTATACAAAGAAATGATATAAATTACATTAAATCGAATTTACATGCCAAAAAAGTCAGAATAGGAACCTATCTCTTAAAGTGTGATATTGACATCACCTCATCATATAAATGAATGTTATAACTAAATAGAGGTTTACATGATCTACAAATATGAGTTCCCAAACTGAATGGAAGCATGATATAGGGAGGAAGCAAACCTGTAAAAAGATGAGGGTATTGGATGGGCATGATGATCGCCTCTCTCAGGATTTCCTTGGCTTCGGTTAATCCAGCTACATCTTGGAAGCTGATACTACCTTTCCTGATAATAGTGTCTTCTACTATTAGCTTTCTTTGTGTCTTGTGCTTATCAGCAGCATTATCTGTAAGGAATCAAGATATTAATTTTGTCCTCTTGAAAATAATACTTTAATGCAAGGTCATATGTAAGTCTCTTCCATTTTTCAAAATATTTCACACACAGAAACATAAGAGGTCGCAAATATATTAGTATTTGAATTGCAAATATTCTCCTATCTTCCCATAGGAAAGAAATGAGCCTGCCGCATACTCCTGCGACAGACTTGCCGCAGATCTGCAGCAGACCTGCCGCAGACAGTCATCTTTTTCACATGCAAATTAGTTTTGCCGCAGACTTGCCGCATACTCTTTCAGTATGATGAAGAGTCTGCGGCAGGTCTGCCGCAGACTTGCTGTAGACTTGCCGCATACTCTTTCAGTATGATGAAGAGTCTGCAGCAGGTCTGCCGCAGACTTGCTGCAGACTTGCCGCATACTTTTTCAGTATGATGAAGAGTCTGCGGCAGACCTGCCGCATACCAATATATATCGATATTACCAATTAGGTACATTCTATTCTCAATTGTATTAACTTCATCACATAGATCATTTGCAGTGTATTCAAGATTAACATTTAAAGTGACACAGGCTCGTACACATATATATACTAAATATGTATATTTTTTCTTGGTTAGTAATCATATAATCAATATATCTATTGCTAAAACGTGAATGTAATTGTAACATGATCAGACAAAATAATCTATTGGTTAATAATGGCAAAAGGAAAATAGAAATCACAAAAATGATGTGCATTAATTTGCTTAACAAATCATAAATGTATTTTTCTGTCACACGTGTAAAGTAATAATGAATATGCATGAGATGATTATGTATTGGTTTCAATTGGCCCTATTAGACTTTAATGGGATTTCAATTGGACCAATCTGCCCCATTAGACTTTAAAAGGTTTTCAATTGGTTTCAATTGGATCAATTGAAGTCCAACTTCAGGCCAATTGGGGTACGTCCCATTAAAGTCTAATGGGGCATAGGCCAATGGGGCCAATGGGCCCAATTGGTCCAATAGGGACAATCTGGACCAATTGAAACCATCTGAAGTCCTATTAAAGTCCCATTGAAACCTGTTAAAACCTATTGAGACCAATTGAAACCAATTGAAAATTCAATTGGTGTTCAATTAGTTTCAATTGGATTTTCATCTTGGGTAGTTACAACAAAAAAGTGAGTTAGTGGGGCTGAAGATAAGATCACATATGGCACAACAAAAAAGTTTGAAACAGTCCGTTAATTCCTCAGTCTCCTCTTATGTAATAAATTCCTCTTATGGTACCAGTTGAACTTGAAGCAAATTGTTTGGTTTGACAGAAGCTAAAAAGACAATTAACAGTGCTAATTAACACAGGAATTTACAAGATCATGGGCTCAGCCTGCAACCTCATATGGTACTGCATGTCCTACAAAATGGCCGCCTATAGCCTTGCTTCAGACTGTATAATTTCCCACTTTTCTGTGGCAGACCTGCCGCAGACTGTTCCTGTGGCGTACTGGTATGCGGCAAGTCTGGAGCAAAGTTTCATCCTGCCGCAGATCTGCCGCAGACTGTTCCTGTGGCATACTAGTATGCGGCAAGTCTGCAGCAAAATTTCATCCTGCCGCAGATCTGCCGCAGACTGTTCCTGTGGCATACTAGTATGCGGCAAGTCTGGAGCAAAGTTTCATCCTGCCGCAGATCTGCCGCAGACTGTTCCTGTGGCAAACTAGTATGCGGCAAGTCTGCAGCAAAATTTCATCCTGCCGCAGATCTGCCGCAGACTGTTCCTGTGGCATCCCTTACCGAAAAGGCAGGCCTGCTTATAGCCTGCATCAAGCCTGCATAGCTGCTAAAAAGCAGGCTAATTCCTTAGCAAGCACTGACCTGCAAAAACGCCGAAATATGCAAATTAGGCAGGCTTAATTTAGCCTGTACATTTTAAAAGCAGGCTTATTTTAGCCTGCAAAATCATTTTAACCTGCTCAATTAGCCTGCAAAATTGCCCTGCTTTTTTAGTATGCAAAATTAACCTGCTTTGTTAGCCTGCAAAAACGCTGAAATATGTAAGTTATGCAGGTTAATTTTAGCATGCTAATCTAAAATGCAGGCTAACAAAATTGAAGATATTTGATTGCCATCATTATCAGTACAAGACTTCTATTGGTATATCGACTCGGATAGAGGAACGGGGGATAAATTGATATATCATAATCAATATTTGCAAGTGTCCACCAATAGGAATATTCTAATCTCAATTGCATTAGACTAACTCCATCACAAAGATCATTTGAAGTTAATTCAAGATTGACTTTAAAAAAGTACAGGCTCATACACGTATATATAGAAAATATACATGCTATTTAAATTGGTTAGTAATCGTATAATCAATATATCTATTGCTAAAACATGAATGTAAGTGTGATCAGACAAATAATCTATTGGTCAATAATTGCCAAAGAAAAATACAATCACAAAATTGATATGTGCATTAATTGTCATAAGTTGCTTAACAATTAATCATGATAAATGTATTTTTCTGTGAGACGTGTAAAGTAATAATGAATATTCATGAGATACGTATTGCAGGTTAATTTTAGCATGCTAATCGAAAAGGCAGGCTAACATAAATGAAGGTTTCTATTGGTTTCTATTGGTCCCATTGGGTTCAATTAGTCTTATTGGTTTATATTGGTCCTATTGTTCCTATTGGTAGATCTATTGGTCTTATTGGTTTCAATTGGACCAATTAATTGGCCCCATTTGACTCTAATCGAGATTTCAATTGGTTTCAATTGGACCAATTGGCCCCATTAGATATTTAAAATGGTTTCAATTGGACCAATTGGCCCCAATAAGACTTAAATGGGACTTCAATTGGACCAATCAGCCCCATAGACTGTAAGGTTTTCAATTGGTTTCAAATATATCTTTTCTTCATATAAGTTGCAATTTAATCCAATTATGATACATGTATCTAATAAACACAAGACTATATCAATGTTATAACTACGACCTAAAAGCATTGCTCTCTCTTTAGGCTCCATCATATTTCTTCCTTTATTTAACTTAGTCTTATGTATTATTCTGTTTGTTTGTATAAATGCATCCCCCCAAAAAAAATAATTACAAAAAATGTAACATGCCACATGTAATAAAATAAACATGTGAAATATGAAAATAAACTGAAATTGAAACTGAATTGGACCAACTGAAGTCCAAAATAGGGCCAATTGGTCCAATTGAAACTAATTGAGTTCCCATTAAAGTCTAATGGGGCCTAGGCCAATTGGTCCAATAGGGCCAAACTTGACCAATTGAAACCAACTGAAGTCCTATTAAATACCAATTGAAAAAATGAAAATTAAATTGGTGTTCAATTGGTTTCAATTGGATTTTTGTCTTGGGATGCCTCCCCAAGCGCTCGAAACCTCGCTTGCTCGGCTTTCTATGAACCTATTTTGTTTAAACTCTCAAATCACCCCTAATATATAACATTAAACGTGCATGTGAAAAATAACCTGCAGGCTACATGTAAAAAGCAATAACAGGTTAAATTTGTGTTATAAACCTGCTCAGAGGACATTTCTTCAGATTGCAGGTTTAACAAATTATGATAGAAATTTACATGCTAAAGATTAAACTGCATCTCATCTGGCATGCTAAAGATTTAACCTGCTAAAACTGTATTTTGCAAAACGCATGCTAATTTTAAACTGCAGGCTGAGATTTAGCCTGCTTAACTGTAAGACTGTGTTTTGCAAAATGCATGCTAATAACAGGCTAAAATTTAACCTGCTAAAACATGTAAGACTGATTTTGCAAAATGCAGGCTAAAATTTAACCTGCTAAAACATGTAAGACTGATTTTGCAAAATACAGGCTAAAATTTAACATGCAAAAGAATAATTAGCATGTATTTAAGAATGCAGGCCAGACGCAGGTTCAAAGCAGGCTAAATAAGCCTGCATTTTCGGTAAGGGATACTGGTATGCGGCAAGTCTGCAGCAAAATTTCTTTCTGCCGCATACTTCGGCATACTCTTTGCCGCAGATTAAAAGTCTGCGGCAGGTCTGCGGCATACTTCACACTTTCCTATGGGTTACCGTTCAATTTCAAGAAGAAAAAAAAATCAAAGCGATATTTTGTTATTATCAACTTCATTTCACATGTGGCTAGTAGGCCTTTTAATACCACTAAGACTATTTTCACTGTGATTAATGAGAAGGTAAAAAGATAATTTCTGTCCAATTTCTAAGATGGACAGATTTCTAGTAGACCTACAGTACAGAAACTGTCTACAAAAGTTATCTGCATGATATCTAACCTGTTGATATTGATGTTGCATCTTTAACATAGGGTTCATGTCCTTTATTCAGTTGATCCTTCTTCGCTTTGAGTGAGCCTAGAGAGTGGCCGACACTGGTCAACAACTGTTGCAATGCAAACTTCAATGCGCGAACCAAAATGGAAAGAGAGGCAATCAATAAAGAGATAAAATCATTCAACTTAAATAATCAGATATTTTTTAATATTGATTCATTAACAAAGTATCATTTTCAGTCAGTGCTGTAACATTTCTTATAAAAATGCCCTTTACATCCCCACCCCTCACAAACCTACTTACATGTAAATGACCAAATGTTTTGTTTGATTTTTGTTGTTGATTATAAAACCATTCAAATACAAGTACACTGAGTATATTCTGATACTGAAATCTCAAGTACTTATCAAATACTGAAGACCTTTTGTTTCAATTTTATCATCACATAATATTAGGCTTAAAGAAATACGTACCAAAAGAAATTGGGGAGATAGAGCATTTGCATCAGCAGCTCCTTCTCTGTGGAATAAGTTACCTTTCTCTATTCAGACGGCCAACACCTTTTCTACTTTCAAAACTGGGCTTAAAACTCACCTGATGCTCAATGCATATTGTTAAATTTCAATGTTCTTTTTATACAATACATGCAAAGCAAATAATCACACTGTGCCACATCATATGTACCATGGCACCAGGAAGTTGTGTGATCTAATGTAAGTTTAACTTTCAATATATCTTTAATCTCAAGTATGTTTAATATTAATTCAAATTATTTGTATGCGCCTCGAGCATTTTAGAGATGGATATGTTGCGCTTTATAAATATTGTTATTATTATTATTGCAACATCTGCCACTACTTTCCACGTCAATAATTTAAATATGCTTTGACGACTGTGCTTACATGTTAGTTTGAATTCTTACTGAAACAAACGAAAGTCACCTTTCTCAATCTGTCGTCTTCTTTGTCCGCCAACTGCTGAACTAGTCCAACACAGTTATCACAATTGCTGATTAGATTTTCCAAGTTAACATTGCTCGTCTGTTGGCATTCATCTGCTGCTGCTGACAAGCTGACGGATAGAATTGCATTTAAAATCATGACTGTTATCATTTGGGTAGCATACCCCCTAACATACACAAAGTGATGTCATGTCAGGAAAACCTTATTTAGGGTTAAAATCATTCCTCTTGGGGGACCTAAATGTCAGATATTTTGTTTAAATAACATCATTGATACACTGATACATGTATCATTCTCATATGAGGATATATTATGGGGGACTTCCCTACTTTAATTTTGTAATAATAGAAATTCATGAACCCAGAAATGGAGAAATATGCAGTAAATTCACAAAATAAAATATTGATAAAAGACAGGGGAAAAAAAAAAAAAATCACTTACCAGTCGACTGCCTCTGTCCAGGAAAGCATTGGGGAGAACAGAGGGAAATAAGAATAGTTGAATGAAACATTGAACTAAAACAAGAATATAGACCTCAACTTACATCTTCAAGAATATAGACCTCAACTTTATATCTTCAAGAAAAAGACCCATTGATTTTACACAGAAAATAGCCAAAAATAACAGTCAATTACGGTGCTTTTAAAAATAAAACTATAGTAAATCATAATGAAATTGTAATTTGTTTGCTTTACTAGAAAGAACAAAGGTCTAGTCTTTGTCGTATTATACTAGTCAATCTAGTCAAAATATGTGATAGACTACTTGACAGCAGAAAAAAGACGTGTTTTTTCATGTCATCCTCCATACAACTTTTTAAATAATAAAACAAGCACTGTTCAGTGACCCAAACGTTTTTATGTTTTCTTTTTACTCCTAATAAAACTCCAAGTAGACCGCACTTGGAATATTCACATGCTGTGTGGAATCCTCATTTGAAAATGCATATTCTAGCATTAAAAATTAAAAAAAAAGGCCACTAAATTGGTACCTGCAATAAAGACTCTTTCGTATGTGCAAAGGTTATCTCACCCAAGTTAGACTCCATAGACCATACACTCGCATATTGTCGTTCACAAGGAGATATGATGAAAACATACAAACTGTTTCATCAATAAGACCAATACAAATATAGGTTAAATACATACTAGGAAGTGCCAGACTTTGGCCAGGTGCATGTGCCAACCAGGTCGATTTGAAGTAAACACTATAATATATATCCCTAGATCTACTCCAAGTCCTAGGCCTATCACTCAGAAATGTAAAAACTCTTTTTAAAAAGAATTACTGATTAGGAATGAGGAAACCCTGGTCCTGGAATAGTTTTTAAAATGGTCTGGACAAGTAGAAGTACTGGAAAAGTGAACCTGGGAAGTACAAATTCAGCCAAAACTCACTCAGACATGATCAAGCCAACTTAACACGAAGGAGTTTGGAACTGAATGTCTGGGTTCAGACAAATCCCTAAGGCCTAAAATAAAAACTTGTTGTATTGCCCTTTGGTGCCAAAACATGGGTCGGTCGGTCAGAAAAGTTTTGTTGTTTTTTAAAACTTTTTTTTTGTCGCCATCTTTGGGCCGATATTTTTCAGTTTTGAATATTTGTTTGTTTTTTTCCGCCCTCTGTTGGCGGATATTTCTCAGTTTATAATGCTTTAATACATGTGTTTCAGCGTCATCATTCCATTCATCTTTTTGACCTCATAATAATCCATGGATTGCAATGTTGTGTTGATTGAGATGTTGTGTAACTGTTGTCTAACTTGTATTGTAGGCCTAGAAGGCTAGATCTAGATCTACTATCTACTAATACTCTAGTTCAGGCCTTCTCAACTGGCGGCGCACGCCCCACTTGTGGCGCTTGCGGTCAGTCGGAGTGGCACGCGGCTGTTCCAAAAAATTATTACAAAATAACTAAGAAGAAAAAAGAAAAAAATTAAAGAAAGAAAAAATTAAAAAACTAGACCCCCTAATCTATATTTTAAAATTTAAAAATTCAGCAAAATCAAAAAGACGCAGTCGAATGTTGAGCCCAAAATGTAAGCAACCCATTTTGTTTGTTTGATTTTCACTTGATTTTGACATTTTCCGTGTTTATTGCACCAAAATAATTACATAGGGTCTAGGTCTAGGGTCTATAAATTTACTTCCAGTATAGATTTCACCCAGGAATTGTACTCATTAATTCACATCAATATTAAATTATGATTGATATTTTATGGAATAAAAAGGTGTAAAAAATGCCACATCTATGGGCCTTAAAAAAGCCCTAAAATCCACTAACAAGTTAGGTTCCGGGGGCTTTGCCCCCTGGAACCCACGCGGTATCGGCTCGGTCGTTACGCTCCCTCGCATTACAGGTTGGCACTTCAACCTCAATAAAAAAAAATGTTGGCACTTCTAATAAACTACTCTAGATCATTGAGATCTAGTTCATCTAGTTGTAATGTAATTGTAGACCTAGAATCTAGATCTAGGCCTAGTCAGAGACTCGGACGGAGTAGGCCTAACTAGACTGAGTAGACTAGGCCCCCTTCTCCCTAGGCCTAGGCCCTGGCCTAATCTAAAGTTAGATCTACTGTAGATGTAGACCTACCGACGATCATCTTCTGTCTGCATAGCCTGAGATCTTGATCTCAAGACGGTACAATTACAAAAAGACTTTGCAAATGATTCATTGGATAGATCTATAAAACAGACTCGCATCAGTCAGTTCAGAATTAGACATATCACCGACCTCGCTATGCGTGTGCGGAGCGGGGCGGCGGGGCCGGAGATGTGAGCGGCAAGCCCTCTGCAAAGCCAAGGGCCAGCTCTCTTGTTAGGCCAGAACTGGACGCCTGAAACTACGGCCGGTCGATAAATTCTAGACCTATATACGAATAAAGAAATATATAGATGCATATTGAATGTTAATTGAATATAAGTAATAAAAAGTAAACATTTACCTTGATATTTCTTTAAACTCTTATATTTCTGATAATTTTGCTCCTGTGCTTCAGGCTCAGTTCCTTCGGAAGACATGATGATTGCTAAAATTTTATGAACGCAACGCATAGCGCATGCGCAAGCGCTTAATGCAGCTAGCTAGCTAGCTGCTTTATATAAAAAAAATAGTCGTTTACGGATCATAGGCCTACGACCAAAATCTTCATCAATTAAAAAAAAAAACTGAATTATTCATTCATTCATTATTCATCTTAACTTGCCTCTAATTAGAATCAAGTGAAACAAAGCAAGTGCTGAGCTATTGCTCAATGTCAGTGAGCATTATTATTAGGCATATTTCGAACTAGCATATAAAGTATATGCAGGGGCGTCTCCAAAGGGGGGAGGGGTGTGGAGGGGGCGACACCCCCCACCTGTTAGGATATTGTCGGTAAAATTGCGCTGCCGTCGTGAAAAAGAGAAAAGGGTGACGGAAAAAAAGAGAGGGAAAGGGAAAGAAAATGAAAAAAAAAAAGAAAAGGAAAAGAAAAGAAAGAAAGAAAGAAAAAGACAGGAAAGAAAGGAAAAGAACGGAAAGAGAAGAGAAGAAAGAAAGAGAAAAAAAGAAAAAGAGTGAGGAGAAGAAAGAAAGGAAAAGAAAGAAAAAAAAAGAAAAGGAAAAAAGAAGAAAAAAGAGAAAAGGGAAACAAAAGAAACAGGGGATGAAAGAGAGGAGAGAGAGGGGGGGGGGGGGGGTAAGAGCCTGAGATAGGAGGAGTGGGAGTAAAAGAGAGAAGGGGGTTGTTGGGTGGAGTCGTCTCGTCGAGGGAGCAAGAAAGACCGGGAGAAAGACACGGGTAATTATATTGCTGTACCGGGTCAGCTGTGTCGGTATTCTTGCTCGATCCTCGTGTACTATATCAATGCAGAAGTTTGAAGTCGGTGGGATGTATATTGTTGGTCGGCCGACAAGTTTTTTTCCCATACGAACTGTAACTTTTTATCCGCTGTGACGACTTCGAGAGTGACTAAAACTACAATACTTGTATTTTCTTGAAGTTTCACTTTCCTATAATATCAGCTAAAGAAATCAGAGGTTTAAAATTTTCGGGAAACTAAATTCAAACAAGGATAAAGGGTCAACAACGGTACGACGAATCGTCTTCCGTTCTCTATGTTTTGATGAAACGCCAAAAATTATAAGGAGGGGAAAACTTAATTTAGAAGAGTCGCGAACGGTAGGCTACAACGAATCGCCTGCTTTCTCTAATAATTTCAGGAAACGTCAAAGTTTCCGCGCTTCACGCGAAGGGGGAAACTGAATTCAGATAAATAGGGCTTATTAAGAGTCGAAAACGGTACAACGAATCGTCTGCTTTCTGTAATAATTTCAGGAAACGTCAAAGTTTCCGCGCTTCACGCGAGAGGGGGAAACTGAATTCAGATAAATAGGGCTTAATAAGAGTCAGTCGAAAACGGTGCAACGAATCGTCTTCTTTCTATAATAATTAAATCAAACGTCTAAGCTTCCGGGAGGGGAGGGGGAAACTTCCTTCAGACAAGGATTAAGAGTCGAGCTCGGTTCAACGAATCGTCTACTTTCTCAAATAATTTAATAAAATGTCTAAGCCTTTTCGCGCTTTGCGCGGGATTCGCGCGGGAAGGGGGAAACTGAATTCAGACAAGACTAGAGTCGAGAACAGTACACCCAATCGTCTGCTTTCTCTAATAATTAAATGCAACGTCAAGGCTTCCGCGCTTCGCGCGGGAGGGGGAAACTTCATTCAGGTGAGGATTAAGAGTCGATCACGGTTTAACGAATCGTCTACTTTCTCAAATAATTAAATCAAACGTCTGAGCTTTTTCGCGCGGGAAGAGGGAAACTGAATTCATGCGATTAAGAGTCGAAAACAGTACACCCAATCGTCTGCTTTCTCTAATAATTTAAGGAAACGTCAAGGCTTCCGCGCTTCGCGCGAAAGGGGGAAACTGAATTCAGATAAATAGGACTTTAAGAGTCGAAAACGGTGCAATGAAGCGTCTTCTTTCTATATTAATTTAATGAAACGTCAAGACTAATTCAGACAAGGATTAAGAGTCGAGCATGGTTTAACGAATCGTCTACTTTCTCTAATAATTTAAATGTCAAAGCTTCCGCGCTTCGCGCTAAAGGGGGAAACTGAATTCAGACAATTAGGATTTATTAAGAGTCGAAAACGGTACAAAGCATTCGCGCTTCGCGCGGGAGGTGGGAAATTTCATTCAGACAAGGATAAACAGTCGAGAAGGGTACAATGAAAATCGTCTTCTTTTCCTTATAATTTAAGGAAACAGCTAAGCTTCCGCGCTTCGCGCGGGAGGCCTATGACCCACACCCCCTAATGAGCACGTTTCGCGCGCTCTTAAAGTGATTCGCTTGCTCACTACCGCCCCTCCCTAAAATAAGATCCTAGCTCCGCGCCTGCATTAAAATATAGCTATGATGCTGACTAAGTTGACGAAATAATTCGCATATTTATGTCGTCGAGGAAAATGACCATTTGCGCATACGCAAGTACTATAGATAGTCCGTAGGAAAAACAATTTAGCCTACGGCCCCGAGTATATAGGGTTAAATTGGTAAATATTGGGACATTTAATTTTGTCGGTAATTGGGGGCTAGTTTTGTCGGTAATCATTGGCCTCTACACCCCCCCCCCCAACTGAAAAAGGTTTAGCGACGCCCCTGAGTATATGCAATCTGCTTCCGTTGTTCTTGCAGATATTAAAGATTCTTCCATCTACCTAATAGGCTAATAGCCAATATATCCCCCCCCCCCCCCAATTTGGGTTTTTTGTTGGGGGGGGGGGGCTTTTGCTTTGAGTAGATAGCGCCTCCCCAGCTGCCCTTCCCCCACCCTAGCCAAACCAACTTTAAAAAAAACGCTCGCTTTCTCTGAGGACCAGATTGAAACGGTGATAAAAATAAATAAATTATGAGGCCTACGAAATAGTACTTTTCTTAATGTGCACCTATCTGGGCAGTAAAGTTAAGTTAAAATATTGACATTATTTTGTATGCCATTACAATTACACTGTAATTAGAATATGAATATAAAAATATGTTAATCATCGATCTCTACATTCAGAACACGACATATACAGTATGATTCTGATTTCTTGTGTACGGTGAGTGACAACCAATTTACATGACTCATTCGATTTCTGATCATTTGGCATCAAAATTATTAAAGGAGGTTCTCTTTAACTTGAATAAAATCTTTTTTTGGGGAGGACAACGAGCAAGGGATATTTTAGAAAGTCTGCAAACGATATCACATGTATGCAGTAAATTAATGATATAATTTAATGTCGATGTATGATTGTTTACCGGATAATATCGATTTAAATATTTGACAGTATATATATACATGTATTTCTTTTAAATTAGATTAAAAGTTTAGAGAAAAATCATCTATCGAAGGAATTGAGAGACAATGTACGACAAATGGAAACATTTCTTGATTGATATCTGAGGGCTTAAAATTGTCAAGTACAACATAATGTAACAATTTTTTTTTTCGTTTTAATGTTTCATACAAAATATCGATAAATCGTTCATGGCGTTTTATGCTATAAAACAGCAGAACGTTTCTTATAAAAGGGAGCTCTTTTGGGGAAAATACCCTCTGCAAGTGAAAATCGCAACATGACATTGCGAAACAAGAGACCTAAAATAGCATGATATTTACAAGTTCATTTTGAGGTTAATTTTTGATGTATCGTTCCTCATTTATCAACTTCTAACAGTGCATGATCGAACAGCAGAACGTTTCTTTTGAAAGGGGATTTTTGTGAGAACATAACATGACATTGCGAAACACTGGATTTTTCTTGTGGCGTTCTTGATGTTGATGTCAAGAGGAATGGGTTGAGGGGGGGGGGGGGGGGGGGGGGGGGGCAAGACGTACAAGCCAATGGTAATCCAGTCTGAAAAGAACTTGTCAGACCCAAATTTTCTTCTACCGGGGTGCATGGGGGGGGGGGGGGATTTTGATATCATTTTGTATATGCACCATACAGTTGTTTTCAAGGAACTTTCTAATAACTATAGTGAGCGAGCAAAGCCAAAGCGGTAAAGAAAACATATTGTGCATGCATTATGCTATTGATACTGCCTCAGGACATTTCATATTTTTTTCAATTCATACTAATACTTGAATTTTATTTCCCTGAATATTAATTCATTTGGATAGATATTATGCTTAAAATATAATACTGAAAAATAAATATTTGTCTACATTTCTGTCAAGATCATAATTATACTGCTTAGTCATAGCTTGTAGCTCAGACCATAACAAAATCCATTTTGGTGGGGAGCTATTGTTCGATGCCAGGAGGCCGTAATCTGGGATCCCCGAATAGCCCGTCCTTGGATCCGCGCTCCGGCAGCCAAGGATAAAGACGAATTTCATAACAAAGGTTTTCGATCGGCTTAGTATCCCACATACATTTTATAACGCCAGATACATCACTTCAGCTTAGGGTTGTGTGGAATTGCCCGCATGCATGTAGATGCATTGTATTGTTTATATATTTACTTGTTAGTTCGAAGAAAATGTGTGAGCTATGTGGTTCAGACAGAAAGCTTTGACGGAAGTGAAATATTGAAGCTGGAATTCTCAGCAAGAGCCTTTAATGTATAGAATATTCTACTTCGGTACCGTACAACGATTCTTAGTACGTACTGCACCAACATAGATGACCATGTTGAGATTCGTGCCACTTTTCATCTTCCTGGTACTTCAGGTCTCATACGAGGTGAGTTAAGAATTAAGAGCTGAATAGTATTTTTATTTTATGGGTACTTTAAAAACAAGTGCACATTCTAGTCTGATCTATATCCAGATCATTGGTATCATCGTAATTTTAGCATATGTACGTACATAACAATCGGACCATATTGAGGACACACTGCCCACACATCAAGAACGTTGGCAAACGTATTTACAGTCCTACAATGTAAACAAAATAACAATGATTTTTTTTTTAAAATATCAATATTAGAGGGCAAACAATATTAAAATCTGCATCAGCATATTTGTAACGTGTAGACCTACTGTGTTATCTAAACCCGTTTCATGTGATGTTTTATGTAGTTTATGCTCTTTGCAATTATTTAGAACGAAATGGAGTGAAATTCGGCATGCTACTTTTGTACATATTATGCATTGATCCTTATGACGATAAATTATCATTAAACAAAAGTACCTGGAAAAGCCATATTTATTAGAAGAGACTTAAAGAGGTGAACAAACGTTAAATCGGCTTTATACATCGCCCATTATTTTTTATGCGATCAAAATGTTGATATTGAGAATGTTAATAATTCTTGTGAAGTATCTATATGTATGTTTGTTTTCTAATTAAATGTTGTTTTAATATAAGACAGTCCAGCTCGTTTGGTCATGGAACTAACGTGGAAGGAATATATTATTTAATTTGGTTTAGCTTGACCCTTCCATTTTTAGCTTTCTCATTATCGATTATCAAAACTGGATTAAAAAGGGGGATTAAGTGTTATTTTCCCCTACAATGGTTGTGATCATTGTATTAGCTATTTTTAAATGTTTAGGCAATTAATAGTGACAATATTAGTGAATATACAGTACCCCATTTAGCAATATCTGTATCCATATGGTATATATTAACTTTGATAATATTGCTGAAGAATATCGGACAATCATGATTTTCAATAACTATGTACCTTGAGAAGCATATTATTCCCTTGAATGAAAATGCTGAACTATATACTTTCCATGGTATCTAGTCTGTATCCTTTCTAGTAAACAGGGCACCTTTTTCCTCAGACGCCGCAAAAACCATACCTCCATCCAGCTTAGAAATCGGGTCAATGCTTGTTGAAATTTAAATGAAGTACAGACATTGTCCATTCGGAAATGTGTTCACTGGTTAACGTTTACAATTCACAAAAAGAAAAAAGAAATAACAAAAAATATAGATAATTTTATTAATGCTTGACACTTATAATGCTAAACATAGAGTCATATAATAGTGGAATATTCTTATTTTCCCGAAAAGTCAACAATGAAAATGCAAAATTTAAACGAAAAAGGATGTAGGCTAAAGGCCTCCACCTATTCAATCAGGAAAGGAGGGGGGGGGGGGGGGGGGGGGGGGGGGGTAAGTACAAGTTGTCTTGACCTAGATTGTTTCACAAAAACAAATTATAAAAATATATTTATTAAACAACATGCCCTCCAAATATTACCACAACCTACAACAAAAACAACGTGCCCTCAAATTATATAGTGCGTATTAAAAAGTGTGCCCACATTTGGTTGCTTTATGATGGAAAAGTCATGATTGATGTAAACTTGAAATCTATTTCATGGTAGAGAGTAACTTGCTAGATCTGTTTAACGACACCGCATATAATTGTTCTGCAGTAGATGGCTGAGCACCGGGGTTTTGAAGAAGTGCCGTCAAAATCTCCTTGAGCTAATGCACAAAAATGTGGGTTAGTATATGAATATGTTACTTTGGTCTTAAATCCCTTTGACAGTTAAATACTGATTCATGCTTCAGTTCTTCATTTGTTTAAATGATCCACTGAGTATGTAAGCTTTCACAGGACCTTGTTTCAATCCACAAGATAACCTACCATGATTCCCGGCCCCCCCCCCCACTCAGAGGTCGGAATGACCGCATGCGTGTTGCCAAAATGTCCGTTAAAGGGGTACTTTTCGTGCGACAAAGTCCGGCCCGAGAATTGTAAAAAAAGGGGTGTATTTGACTTTTCACTAGGCTTACTTTTCACCCGGAGATTTCTTTAAAAAGGGGGTGTTTTCCTTTTTTCTCTCATCTCTTTGGACTCCTGAGAAATTATTCCGAATTTAGGGGGGTACATTGAGCATTTTTCCTGATTTAGGGTGGTCTCCAAGGCAGGAAAAGCCTGCGAAAAGCCCGCGAAAGGGGGGTTCGGAAATGTTGGCAGTCCTCAGATAGGGGGTGCTTTCAAAAAGAGGGTACGAGCATATGCGTACCCTATAAATAACACTGAGTGGGGGGGGGGCCGGGCCATGATTATTATTCTAACAGATGAGGCGCGATAGCTCAGTCTATAAAGCGGTGGTCTCGTAATCCGGTGAACCCGGGTTCGAAACCAAGGCGATGCGCCAGTGCCCTTTGGTAAGGCATTAATCTTCATTACCAGGTGCCTCGGGGACGACCTAAAGCCGTCGGCCGTCTGATTGCTTACTTACAAGCATTTATGCTTTATTAGCAGTCAGGTAAAATAACCACCACCATAATGACAACCTATACTAACTTCGTGTCAACTACCAAAGGTACTGACTGTAAAATTTCATGAAAAAAGATAGCCTCCCTAGTAAACTTTTTCCATTTTGAATTACTCAATAACAAGGCATACCTTAAACAAGCTACATAAGCCACCAGTGTTTCATCTTAATAAAGATAATGTCATTACTATTGATTGGAAAATGGGACTTTTCTTTAGTATCAGTTAGTATTATCAGGCGCAGATACACAGGGGTGTCCCCAGGGGCGGATCTAGCCGGTGGCAGGGGAGGGGGCCAAAGAGGGGGCCCAATTCATGAGAAAATATTTAGCGGCGAAACAGCCAGCTAAGCGGGGATGGGGGGGGGGGTATAAGGAGCACAATTTTTTTTTGTGTTCCCGAAAATTTGAAAATTGCGCCGGCCGATAACTTACTCAGTGGGGGGGGGGGGGGGGTGTCATAAGTACCTATTTTCATCTCTGGTGAATGCCTTTTATAAAGTGCGAAGAGTGCCTCATTTTCACCCCTGGAAATTCCCCTTTTTACCTTGCCATCTGCGCTTTTCCTTTTCAAGTAAGTGTCCTTTTCCTTTAGATATGTGCCCCCTTTTCCTTTCCCCATAAAAAGTGCTCCTATTTTAAAACAATTAAGAGCAACTTTAAAAAAAAAAAATTCATCAAAATCTGGCTCGCTACACTCGCTCGTATTCAAAGTTTATATAATTTTGTTTCATAACAAACATATTCAGCCTTTCATGGTTAGATTGTGCTTAAAACCCCATCACCGGATTGTTTTCCTCTTTATAAGATCTAAGCATGTATGCAGGGGCGTCGCTAGACCTTTTTCAGTGTGGGGGGGGGGGGGGGGAGCCCTCCCTTGGCCAAAACAGGTAAATTTAATTTTTTTTTAAATAAAAAAGTGCTGACTCGCCGCTAAACATTTTCTCACGAATTTGGCCCCTCCCTTGCCGCCGGCTGGATCCGCCCCTGATGTGCAACATTCGTAAACAACAATTTGATATAATAGCGTTGCGCTTGGACAGAAATTTCTCGGGTTCGATATCCGCTGGGTGATTTTTGAACCCCTGTTTTCTTTTGTTGATACATTTATTATAGTAAGGTTGACAATGACAATGATTGCTGATGAAACTTCGGGAAAATATAAGTTTTTTAGTTGTAGTCTCTCTCGAAGTCGTCACAGCGGGAAAAAAAGTCACAGGAAAAAAATTCGCCGGGTGACCGAATTATACATTTCATTGAGTTCAAACTTCTGCATTGATATAGTACACGAGGTTCAATCGAGATTCGAGAATATCGACACAGCTGACCCGACACAGCAACATATCTATACGTATCTTTCTTGCTCCCTCGACGAGACTTCACCCAACAACCCCCCTCTCTCTCTTACTGCCACCCCTCCTCTCTCCGATGCTCTTACCTCTCTCTCTCTCTCTCTCTCTCCTATCTTTCCTATCTTTCACCCCCGTTTCTTTTGTTTCATATTCTCTTTTTTTCTCCACTTTTCCCCTTTTTTGTCCACTTCTTTCTTTTCTTTCTTTTATTTTCTTTTCCTTTTTTCCCCCTCCTTTCTCTTTTTCTTGTTTATCTTTTTTTCTTTCTTTTCCTTTCCTTTTTTCTTTTTCTTTCCCTTTCATGTTTCCCTCCCCCTTTCCTCATTTTCTCCGACGGCAGCGCAATTTTCCCGACAAAATCCTGATAGGTGTGGGGGAGAGGCGTTGTCGTACCTCCACACCCCTCCCCTTTAGCGACGCCCCTGCATGTATGATGCTTAAACAGTATAGACCATGTAAAGAGATAAACAGACATTGAAATCATCCCTGAAAATGTAATCACAATATAAGGGTATATACCAATGTCTAAAAAATTGTATATTTCGCTTTGAGGTTTCCCTTCGTAGGTGCCCCCTTTTCCGGAAAGTGCCCTTTATTGTTGGTGCTCTCCCCCTCACTTTGAATGACGATTCTCCGCCCCTGGCTTGCTGAAATCCCGACGCCGTCTGCCCATTCCAACTGCTGTACTAGTCTTGTAGTTGTATATACTGACTGGTTTTGACAATCAAGTGATACCTCAGGTATTAGGAAACTGTACCGTGTCAATTATAATAGTCAACATTGTTGCCATTGAAGATCTTGTTTACAGTTGAAATAAAAAGGATACAAGTTATAGTCTATGGACTCTTGTTCTTGTTAAGGGAATCATATCGGTGTTTTATAGTTATACATGCGTCAATATTAAACACTCACACCTAGACGTACCGGTGTCATACCAGTGTCCTAAAGAATTTTTGTTACACCGGCGTAGGCGTACTATATACATGCGGACTGCACACATAGGCCCGTTTCTTGTGTTTACAGTCTTTTTTTTCCTATCATAAATTTATGCTGGAATAAGTCACAGATTTTAAATGATAACCTGGCAAAAAGTATACACCAAATCGATATTTATGCTGCTTCTCTGGGGGGCACATCTCCCCTTTTAGACTCTCCCCTGTCCAGCGCCGCTAAATATTTTATCCCGAATTGCCCCCCCCCCAACCCCCAACCCCCAAACCCCTCGCCGCCGGCTGGATCCGCCCCTGGGCATGTTGTTGTGTTTTGTTGTTTGTTGTTGTAATGACAATCAGTCAACAACTGACTAAAATAGAAAAAATAAATGCGAAAAAAATCAGCAATAAATTTCGGATGAAATAACAATGCGTAATTTTGGAAATAGCTGCTGCTCAGTCATTAGTGACAGCAGAGTTATGAATTAGATAATCATGAGACAGCGTTTTAGTTACTCTTTATTATCAAAAATAATCCATGGTCACAAAGGGAATAACTTTTAAATAGAGATCTTCCGAATTTGGGTACACTTTTTATGCACAATGTATACATATGTTTATATATAATTATTATGATTACGTGAAATGAGGGAATACATTTCTCTTACAGAGTAATTTTAAACCATCATCGTTAACCTTTACCCCACTAATACCAAAACATCTCTTCTTAATTATTGATTATGCAGGTGAGAGGTGTGGTGAAGGTATCATTTAAACTCCAGCAATACTCAAACCCGAGTCATGAAGAGTTAGACGGAGGATGCTGTGATCAGTTCCTATTCATCTGTAATACATGTGACAATCGTTTTAACCTCTGTTTCGGCAATGTGCAAAGGTATGGAATATAATACGACGTTGACATATATCTCTCTTTTGTGTCTGTGTATGCATTTTGATGTACACTTGAGTACAGTGGCGTACGCAGGATTTTTTTCAAGGGGGGGGGGGGGGTTTAAATCAAAAGGGGGAGTTTTCCAAAAAAAACATATATAAAACATACACTTAAAAAAACTCGAGGGGGGGGGGGTCTAACCCCAAAACCACCCCCCTGCGTACGCGCCTGCTTGAGTAGGTTTTTACGACTGCAGCGTCATTTATGGGTCAATAAACCGTGGATGTTTGTTTTAATTTCCGAAATCCATATATATACAAGTTTTAAAAACATACATATAAAACACATTTCAAATGATAAGAAAGTATGTAAGCATGTAAGCAAATGTGTAAAGTATAGACAAACGGTTGGATAGCCCATTTCAGTACCATTTTCAAAATGTTCCTGATCTTCCATGGGGTCCAAAAGCAAAAAAATCATATTAAATTAGATACAATATAAATTTGTTTAAATAAATCATAGTAATTTACCAATACACTGCACTATCCTTATCGACCTCCCTAGCCTCACCACCTCTCCCACCCTCTCTCGATACTGCCATCCCCTCCCGCTACCCCCTCCCAAGTCCTCCAGGGTATATTACAAAGACCAATAAACAATTTGTTTAACATTCATGAATTGGTATCTACAAAAAATATTTCTCCGTCATAACATTTCAAACTAAACTTTTTATTTCTTTATTAAATATAGCCAAACTTCTTGATTGTCGAGTGTGCATAGATAATCCACTGTACAATTTACTTCCGCGGTACAGAAACGTACGTTTACAATTCTGTGTTGTAGGTTTAGGCAGAACAAAATTAGTACTTCTGAGGGTATAGTTTGTAGTCTTAACAATAAACTTATATTTCAAATAATTATACAGGTGCCAAATCGTGAAATATTTTATTCATCAAATAATAACTGTGCCTAACTTGTCTATTTTCTAAAATTTCCCAATTTGAAATATCATGAATTTCACTAATTGGTTTATGTTCAGATAATTTAAATTTAAGAATAATTCTAACAGCCTTGTTCTGTAATTTTTGTAACATGTCTACTTGAGTCTTAGTGCGTGATTGCCAAAACACGTCACCATAATCAAAATGTGGCATAATTGCGGCATTATATACAAGTTTTAACCAGGCTCATTAACATAGTAATGCAACCTTCCTAAGAAACTAATCATTTTTCCAACCTTTTTACATAATTCATCAATGTGTATATTCCATTTTAATTCTCAATCAATAAAAATGGTAGCAGAATGTGACGTCCCCTTGAGCCTATAGAAACAGCTATGCCTCTCATAGCAGTCAATATATACATAATTGTATATAATATGTTTATTACATGTATTATAATTATTCATGCATTGTAGAGAGACTTTGAATATTGTTTACATTTTCAGGACGCGAATATGGACAATATGTCATTAAGAGAGAATTGACTTTGTTTGTTATTTGTTATGTTCTAAATTTACAGTTCATTCAGCCTGACTCCTTGCCCCTATGGTAGCTATTCAACAAATAGAATATACTCGGATGATGACAGCTTTTACTTCCCAGCTCATCTGCCTGGTGGCGGACCTAATCCAACCATTTTCGCCATCAACTCATGGACGGTATGGCCGAAGTGAAAACGAGATAATCAGAATTAAATTCTAAAATGTATTTGCCGAATATTGTTACACCATGTACAATTCAACTTTGATTTGTCATTAAACTAAAATTACCTTTTTAAACTAGGAGCGGATAAATGACTGACATCACCATTTTATTGCTAACAAAAACACACCAACAACAAATGACTATAAAAACTAGGATATAAGTGCTATAGCATATGAATGGTGAATGTGATGATATACAGTATAACCTATGGACTGTAATTAAATAAAGTATATTAATCTTAAGATGGGATTATATAAAAATGGCCTTTATGGAGGAATTGTTTCCTCGTGTCATCGTTATTGTACGATTAGTTTTGAATTGCCCTTCTTAAAAAGTGAAGAACACTGTTCTAAACAATTAAACAGAACAAACTACTCGATGAATTTGTAAAAGTATCCAGTTCTTGAGAAACACCGAAATCATTAAATTAATAACAACAATAAAGATGCCATGTTAAGGACTTTCCTCACAGCATACGTTATCAGTCAACACTAAACGCTTTATTATGTTATCTTATTATCCTGATTTAGACCGTTATTTCTTGTCAAGGAATAAGGTAATCATGGCCTTCACAAACCCAACCACAAACGTAAAGTTTCGCGTCATACTTTCCTGTTTTTCAGGGTGGATTCCGAGCCAATATCCAAGTTTGGGACTACGACCCACACAATTCAGACGATAAGATAGATGAAATGGGATACAATTTCGAAGGTTCTAAATACCAACCATACAGGACATCTAGCCTCGCTCAGACCAAGAGAGAAACTCTCAATCACGGAAGAGGGACGGCAACGTAAGTATCACGTGATTGACATGTTCTATCGCGCCTTTGAATGTTTTTTGAAACAGATATATGGCGCCATACAAATGCTGTGAATCATCATCATCATCACTGAACACTAAAAATGGGTGAACAGCCGATCAGAATAAAACATTCAGGCAGTTTGTCAAACAAGCATTGATCAATCAAATCTAAGCTCTCTCTTTGCAAGTTTTGCTCTGATAATTATGATCTATAACATTTACACATTTTATGTTGTTTTGAGTATACTCTAGAAATGAGCTCAATGAAACTCAAAACTATATATAAATGCCTTGATACAATGTATTTGCTTTCTGCAGAATCACTGTAGAAGTAAAGGTGTATTGCCAGGAGCATTACTACGGTACATCGTCTGGTTGTTCTACTTACTGTCTGGCTCGAGATGATAATCTAGGTCATTTTGATTGTGATGATATTACTGGAGCAAAGAACTGCCATGTTGGCTATGAAGGTGATGAATGTAATCAGGTGAGTACTTTCAAACGCTATTAATTTACCATTGATGCGATTAGGTAAATGTGTTTACAGATTTGATCTACTGATGTCGTTACCCTTGTTAAATATGACATTATTCGTATTGCTTCTTCTTCTTCTTCTCCTCGTTCCTCTTCTGCCTCCTCTTCTTCTTCTTCTTTTTATTATAATTATCATTTTTATCGTTGTTATTGTTGTAGTTTTTATCCGTTGCTATATGATATCGAGACTCATTTGACAGAAAATCCAAAGATCTTTAATAAGTTCGGAAAAGTCTGCTAAATGTTTGTTAACATGTATATATGTGTACACAAGATCAATAAGGCATTGAAAAAATAATGACACTGATTGGCCCGAGTTCACAAAGCAAGGTTTGAGCTCAGACCAAGGTTTGAGCTCAGACCAAGGTTTGAGCTCAAACCTCCTTTTGTTTCGCCAAACCTCCTTTTGTTCTTTACAAACCAGGTTTGTAAAAAATGCGTAAAACGCGTCATATGACGTTCGAAAACCAAGGTTTGTCGACAAACCTCCTTTGTGAATTAGGGCCATTATGTTTCATTCTCCCCCTCTTTTCAAACCTGATTGAATTATCGTATCCGCTTGAACATCTATTGCATAATCGCATATCTCTCTCTGTCTGTCTCTATATCTCTCTGTCTCTCTGTATCTCTGTCTCTTTCTCTATCCATCCTCTCTCTCTCTCTTTCTCTTTCTATCTCTCGCTCGCTCTCCCTCTCTTTCTCTCTCTTTCTGTATCTCTATCTCTCTCTCTTTCTCTCTTTCTCTGCTCACACCCCTCTCCGCAATTATTCAGGCTACAAATGAATGCAGCCCACATCCATGTTATAATGGAGGAAGCTGCACTGATCTTCACAATAGTTACGTTTGCACTTGTCAACCCGGAACCACAGGTACGGTTAAACGGTCCATTTAATATAATAAAAGTATTGGTACAACTATGATTTAATCAAATCAAAGCGAATATGATGATACATCTGTCAATACTTTGTATTATATTTTGTGCAATCTAGCTTATTAAAAGTGTGTATGAAATAAGCAATAATCATTATAGATCACTTTTATCTTTGCAAAATTCGCGCTAATACTTTATTTGTTTTGTTTAAACCTTGTTTTACTCTGAATACTCACAGCCGTTAATGGAGGGTAGATCAAAAAGCAAATAAAGAGATATGATATCACTTGAATCCTTGATTTTTAACATGCACATTTATTTTCGGTGTAGTATTGAGGGGCAAAGACGGTAGGCCTATCTTAGACTTGTTTAAAAAAAAACTATATTCAAGCCATAACGATCACCCCGTTCCAATTTAAAAATGGATGCCAATTCCTAAAGAAGAACCACTGACCACCCTATGTTTTTTTTTTTTTTTTTTTTTTAATTTAGGTTTGCAATGTCAGACAGACATCGACGAATGCTCCAGCAACCCATGTGTGAATGGAGTCTGTTATACCTCTCCCACAACTCTCAATATCTACACCTGTTCCTGTCATCCGGGTTATGTAGGAATGAATTGTGAGAATGATGTTGATGAATGCGCGTCTAACCCCTGTCAGCGTGGCGGAACGTGCTCGGATTTGGTTAATGCATTCCTCTGCTACTGTCCGGTTGGATCGCAAGGTGATGATCTTCAAACTCATATCTCAGTCACACCAACGAGACCGACACCAGAACGACATCAGACCGACAACAAACCGACTTAAGACCGACGACAGACCGACAACAGACTGACAGTAGACCGACAACAAACCGATAACAGACCGACAACAGACCGACGACAGACCGACAACATACCGACGACAGGCCGACAACAGACCGACAACAGACCGACAATAGACCGACAGCAGAACGACAACAGACCGACAGCAGACCGACAGCAGACCGACAGCAGACCGACAACAGACCGACAACAGACCGACGACAGACCGACGACAGACCAACGGCAGACCGAACAAAACTTACATTACCTCCAATGTCCATGAATTAGTCGGTTTAGAATGACCGTGGTGTCAGTTTTTCGGTGTGACTGAGGTATAATTGTATTTTGCCTCTGTACAAGAAACGTTAAGGATTGGTGTTGAGATTCCAAGTAAATTGAGAGAACTATACGAATGTTATGATAGGGTTCATTTCAACATATAATGTCACGTTTAGTACAAGATTAGTACAATGTGACTAGCTGATCACATTGCTTCATTCTCAAAGAATGCTTAGATAATTCCTGCATTTTAAAAAAAAGGGTACTTCTTTAGATCATTAATCAGAATGTAACTGGATAACATCATCACTTCACAACTTGTTATTTCCCCATCCACTTATCATCACATTCTTTTTTTCCATGACCTGCTTGAAGGTACTCGATGTGAGATCGATGTTGATGAGTGTTCAAGTCAGCCGTGCCAACATGGCGGGTCATGTGTGACCTCACCGGAAGTACTGAACTACTATCAATGTAACTGCGCCGATGGTTATGTAGGCGTGAACTGTGAGGAGGATGCAGATGAATGTTTGTCATCACCATGCCAACAAGGAGGACAGTGTCATAATATGGTCAATGGATTTGAATGCTCATGTCCTGCAGGCATTGCAGGTAAGTAAAAGGAACAATCACCCCAGGTGAAATTTAGAAAAATATCTATAAAAAAAGTGGGAAAAGGAGAATGTCCTATTACTTTGAACTAGGGTCTAGGGGATTGGACATGAATTATTATGATCTTTGATACACCTGATATGGATGTGATAGCCATCTTTATATATTTATTCCTAAATAACTTCACAAGTGTTAATATATTTGTTTCTTTAAAAGATGCAATGTGGAGCCCTGTATATGAAATTAAAAGTGCTTATTGCTTTCAATGTAACCACGTCTTGGAATAAAATTAGTGTCGTTTTTTTTTAGAGTTGGCAGATTACCTGATCCTTCAGGGTTTGGCTAATCAAGTGGAGAGAAATGGTGTAATTTTGATTTTACGAAACTTTACGTGACAATAATTGTTGATACAAACATCTCCCCTTGTTTCTTTATTCGAAAGGTCTGCATTGCGAAACGGACATTGACGAATGCCTCAGTTTTCCATGTGCATATGATAGCAATTGTAGCACACCACAGCTGGACTTGTACACCTGTGACTGCCAACCAGGATTCGAAGGCACCAACTGCGATGGTATCGTCGATGAATGTCTCTCACAACCTTGCTCGAACGGAGGAGTATGCACAGATCTTATCAACGCATTCCAATGTACTTGTCCACAGGGTACCGAGGGTATGTTTAAGATTATTCTTATCAAATAGTTTCCAAAAACAATGAGCATAATATGTTAATTGACCTTTGGTAATTACACATTATGAAACTTTAGTTCAGCTTCTCTTACTTTCATAATTATCGGTCGATTCAAGTTAATTCAATGATTTCTTTATGCATAAAATGATTGAATACCCTAATTTCGTTGAATAGCTTTCATTGTAGTTAATCCGATCGCAAAGACTTTCAAGAATTCAACTAAAGTGCAATTTTAATACCCTATTCCCGTGTAAAAATAGTATCCACATTATTATGTCACTATAAGGTTCTTGACGTCGTGGTAATGCCATTATATTTCAATTTCATAATACTTGTAGGGGATTTATGCGAAATGGACGTCGATGAATGCCAGAGCGCTCCATGCCAGAATGGAGCTACATGCATCACTCTACCCGGTCAGCTCGACTACTTCTTTTGTTCCTGTTCAACTGGTTTCGAAGGTCTGTACTGCGGGAATAACTTTGACGAATGCCTGTCCAGTCCATGTCTTCAAGGTGGAGTTTGCATTGACCTGATTGCTGACTATCACTGCAATTGTATTCCCGGTACTCTAGGTTAGTTTGCAATTTCGTTTGTTCTTTAGTCATTTTGATAACAAGTATGACAAGTGTGGTATCGTGATACTCATGTGTAATGGGGTATCCTGGGGGGCGTTTTACAAAACTTGTCATCAGCGACAAATGACAGTTGTTGTTATAAGCTACTGAAATGCTTGCTTCTGATTGGTTATCAGCAGATTTGTCACTGATTTTTGTCATTTGTCATTGAAAAAAGGCTTTGTGAAAGGTCTGGTCCAGATCAGGAGGGAGGGAGCAAAACATCCAAGCTTTAGGCGATCCATGTACATAGGCCAATAAAGCGGGGATAGAGCTGAATTCTTTCAGTTTGTTTTTTGCTTCTTAATGTGGAATGTAGCAGGTTATTCAGATGATAACAGTATGGTGTTACTATTTTTTGTGTATGTATTTGTGTGTTTCATTTGGTGTCCCAATGTTCCCCTTAGTTCATAACTATTCATATAACATTTTGAACTCTTTTTATTTTACAGGTGAAAATTGCGAAGTCGACATAGACGAATGTGCCTCTGATCCTTGTTTGAATGGAGGACAGTGTCTCACATCTCCAGACCAACTGGACCATTACCAGTGTGACTGTCTCGATGGTTTCGTAGGAGTAACGTGTGATGGACACGTTTGCGATGATGATCCTTGCTCCAATGGGGCTTCGTGTGAAGCAGTAGGTAACGAGAATAGGTGCCGATGTCAGCCTGGCTATGAAGGTGTTTTTTGTGAAAATGAAGTTAATGAGTGTTCGAGTAATCCATGTCAGAACGATGCGACCTGCCATGATAATGTTAATGGTTACGTTTGCGTCTGTCCAGAACATTACGGGAGCAATAACTGTGAGATTGACTTTAACATGTGCAGGCTTTCCTTATGTATAAATGGAGCGATGTGCGTAAACTTACCTAATGATTTTCTTTGTCAGTGTGGAGATGATTTCACAGGAGATCTTTGCGATACCCGAATAGACGACTGTTTGGAACATTCTTGTGCAAACGAGGCAACATGCATAGATAGCATTCTGAGCTATTACTGTATATGTACACCTGGATTCTTTGGACAATTATGTGAGTTTGACATCAATGAGTGTTCATCAAATCCCTGCAAGAACAGAGCTGTGTGCATAAACGGTGTAAACACGTTTACATGTCAATGTCCATCTGGATTCGAGGGAACAGTTTGTCAGGACATTGTCAACAATTGCGAGAGTTCACCGTGCTATAATAACGCTACTTGTATCAACGGTCTTGCAGCCTTTGAATGTAGATGTACCCATGGCTTCATGGGATTAACGTGTCAAACTGACATTAATGAATGCGCCAGTACACCGTGTGTAAACGATGGCACATGCTCAGATAGGATAGGTGGGTACAATTGCCAGTGTGGAAGTGGTTTTGAAGGTGTCAACTGCGACGTCAATACCGACGATTGTTTGGCCAACGCGTGTCAGAATGATGCTACGTGTGTAGACGGAATCAACACCTATACATGCATTTGTCAACCGGGATACATTGGACAATACTGCCACCAGAATGTTAACGAGTGCAGCAGCAACCCATGCCACAATCCTGGCATTTGTACGGATCACATCAATGGCTATGTTTGTACATGTCAGAACGGCTATCATGGAGTACACTGCGACTGTCCACCAGGAACAGCAGGTATGAAGATAATGCTACTCAGTATTAAAGGTGGTAGCCAATAGATTGAATCCTAAGAAAATGAATATCGCTTCAGGATTGTAACATTTTTGCATATAACACTCTCAACACAGTCGTCATGTCATATATAAACATTCTGTATTCACAGTAAAATCATGTAGGGTGAACTATAATTTTACATAAGCAGGATATTTCAAAATTGCAATTGCTAGTGAGCTTCTAACTGGATGTTAACCAATGTTTAGCTCTTCGTTTAATTGTAATGATTCGATTTATATCAACGAAACCAAGACGTAGACTAAGTACAATTACTTTTAAATTACAGTTAAATATCTTTGTCACATTCTAATACTACAGGTCAACAATGTGAGGTTGACGTGAACGAATGTGCCAGTCTCCCATGTCAAAACGGTGGTACATGCTCGACCTCTGCTGATATCCTGAATACATACATTTGCACCTGCCGCGCTGGGTATACTGGTGTTAACTGCGGAACGGAGGTTGATGAGTGCCTTTCAGATCCTTGCCAACATGGCGGTACTTGTGCTGAGCAGTTTAATGGTTATTTATGTTGGTGTCCAAGTGGAACTGCGGGTGAGTTGACTGGAACAACCAATACTCCCACGATTAATGCTATGTTTTTGTTAAAACTAAATTCTCGACATAATTGTCACACCCCAATATATATTTTTTGACAAACGGTAACATCTGTTGTTATTCATTAAACTAATACATATATCGTTTTTTATCGTTTATAATAATAATAATAATAATAATAATAACCTAGGCTTCTATAGCGCATTTCATCTTCGAAGAAAATAACAATGCGCTTTACAATTGTAATACAACAAAATTACACATATACTATACATATACTATTATTATATACTATTATTATCAAGGAGCAGTTTCATATTGTATTGTTTATTGTCAATCCTTTCGTTGCATCGGAAAGTTGTTGTTTATATTATAATCCACTTATCCTTCATATCACCTTTTAATTCATAGGTAATCACTGTGAGGTTGATATTGACGAGTGCCTGAGCTTCCCTTGTTTGAATGGCGCGATATGTCTAACCTATACAGACGATCTTGATGATTACGAGTGTCAATGTACACCGGGATTCCAGGGTGTCCATTGCAGCAGTAATATCAACGAATGCAGCTCCGATCCGTGTAATAATGGAGCAACCTGCATTGACCTTATCAGTGGATTCCTGTGCCATTGTCCAACTGGCAGTGCAGGTATGCCGTCAGAGAATAATTACAGTGTTACTATATCAGACAACATTACAATGACAATAGTATGCTTATAAGACAATTTTATGATTTACCCATCTTCCCAAATTGTGTTTATTAAATCAATATAAATATACTTCTACTTGAATATTTGCAAGATGTCAGATAATTCTCAAGATAACTACTCTAGAACAGATGCTTGGTTATATTTTGCAATACAATGTTACAAGCCCCATCTTCCCAAATTGTTTTTATTAAATCAATTAAATATACTTCTACTTGAATATTTGCAAGATGTCAGATGATTCTCAAGATAACTATTCTAGAACAGATGCTTGGTTATATTTCGCAATACAATGCTACTAGCCCTTTTAAAAATCTTATCTGACGCCTCATATTGAAGGTCCAAGATGCGAGGTGGACACAAACGAATGTTTGAGTAGGCCGTGCCAGAATGAAGGAATTTGCTACCAGTCTCAACAATTGGACAGCTACATTTGCGTCTGTCCAGTTGGATATACGGGTTCCCATTGTCAAAGTGACATTGATGACTGCTTACCAAATCCTTGTTCACGGAATGGCACATGTACTGACAGAGTAAATGGCTATCACTGTTCTTGTCCACAAGGGAGTTCAGGTAAATATATATATATATATTAAATCTACTTTGCATTACTTGCATTTGTAACACTATCCTATATTGATATTGTTGAAATAATAATGCATCGTGGGACTTGAAATAACATTATTACATAGCCGCTATAAATACCTTGATTTTGCTCTCATTTTTCTTCCCACATGTAAGCTATATGCATCATCAGGATATGTACATATCAAATACAAAGTCATCGGCACCAACGACCACAACAATACATACACATTTTTTTTTCGTTTTGCCACATAGGTTCGCGATGTGAAGAGGACATCGACGAATGTAAATCGTCCCCGTGCCTCAATGGTGGAGCCTGTTCGGAGGGGGTGGATACACTGAACGAATACCAATGCACCTGTCTGGCTGGATACCTAGGAATGAACTGTGAAGGACATGTCTGTGACACGAATCCCTGTGTCAATGGAGCCTCTTGCAAGTCTGTGGGAGAGGAAATCATCTGTCTCTGTTTGTTAGGGTATCAGGGTACACATTGCGAGCAAGAGATCAACGAATGTGGCAGTAGTCCTTGTGCAAACAATGCTACATGCCATAATGAAGTTAATGGGTATACTTGCCAATGCCCAGATGGGTTTGGGAGTAGTCACTGCGAGGTTGACACACATACCTGCCGATCAGATCCCTGTCAAAATGGTGCCCTTTGTACAAATATGGTGGACGATTTTAAATGCCATTGTACAGCCGCTTTTACTGGAGATCTCTGTGAAGTAAATATTGATGACTGCGGTAATCATATTTGTTTAAATGATGGTCTCTGTGTTGACGGGATAGCTTCCTATTCGTGTGATTGTAAGACAGGATTTGCGGGGGATCTGTGTGGTATTAATATAAATGAATGTTCTAGTAATCCCTGTAGGAATGGTGGACTTTGTGTTGATGCAGTTGGTGGTTACACATGTTATTGTACACTCGGCTTTGAAGGGGAGCACTGTAGTAATGTGGCAGACAACTGTCTGAGTCAACCGTGTCAGAATAGTGCAACATGCATCAATGGGTTTGCCTCGTATTCATGCAGCTGCCCCGAAGGTTTCATGGGTTTCAACTGCGAAATGGATATCAATGAATGCCTTAGTTTTCCCTGTGCCAACACTGGTAACTGCATTGATAAGGCGAATGGCTACGAGTGTAATTGTAGAGCTGGATTTCAGGGGATTCACTGTGAAATCAACGTAGATAATTGCGAAAGTGTCCTCTGTCTGAACGGTGGAAGCTGTGTTGATGGGGTGGATACGTATGTCTGTCTCTGCGATGCAGGCTATGAAGGAAGTTCCTGCGAGACCAACATTAATGAATGTGCCAGCAACCCTTGCCGAAATGCTGCAACTTGTATGGATTTGGTCAATGCCTATTCCTGTCTCTGTGTCGAGGGCTATGAAGGCTTTAACTGTGAGGTGGATACCCTAAAATGCTGGAGTAACCCTTGTCAGAATGGTGCTCAATGTGACGATATTCCAGAAGGTTACACATGTCGCTGTCCTGACGGGTACACAGGTACTCATTGCGAACAGCAGATCAACCTATGTGAAAGCGTTCCGTGCAAGAATGGTGGTTCCTGTTTCCAATTCCAGTTCTCCAATTTTTACATTTGTTCTTGCGCCGGTGGTTACCAAGGGTTAGACTGTGGAGAGGACACCGATGAATGCCGTTACAATGGTTGCGCAAACAACGCCACGTGCATTGATGGTTTTAAACAATATACCTGCTACTGTAACAATGGATTCACCGGTCGTTTCTGCGATGAGGATGTAGACGAGTGCGCTGTTTATGCTGATGTTTGCCCACCAGACATGTTATGTGAGAATTCTTACGGGGGGCATGACTGTGTGGCACCTCCTACAACACAACCTACGTTCGCCGGTATGTGCTTCCAGGAGGCTTGCTACAATGAAGGTACCTGCGTGTTTCTCAACTCAGAATACAGGTAAACGCTTTTAAGATATTGGTAAAAATTCTTAGTAATAACATGATTAGGGTGGGCAAATAACCTGGAGCAATTGTCATGTCTAGTTTCATGCTCATTCAGTAAACTTATCGCCTATTTTTCAGAAAGAGTTGTTCTTTTTCAGCATCATAATTCGACGAAATAGCAGGCTTGCTTGGCATTAAATGTACCAAAGTTGGTCGGCTACATTTTTTAATCAATTAAAAATTAAGTTTTGAACATCGCGTGAAAGATGTCCAATAATTGTTAGGTACACAAGGCTTATAGATATTTTACGTTTATCAACGAAAACATGCTATAAAGTAAATCACTTTGTTTGACTAAACTGCGTTGGCACACAATATCCATGTTGTTTTATTTAATCATTTTTCATTTTACTTGTATAGAAATTCAAATTATTTTATAATCAAGAAAACGAAACCATTCTTAAGTTGTGTTCTTACCAAGAGTTTATTCAAATAAAACTCACATTTCCTTTTCTCTGTCTCTCTCTCTTCCTCTCCCGCAACGAATGTTGCTTCTGTCAATATCCAGATGCTCCTGCCAAGCAGGATTTACCGGAGACTTATGTGAAACCCAACTGGATGTATGCCTATCCTCTCCATGTTTAAACAATGGAACTTGCACTCCTACTGAATCTTCCTCCTCAGGAGCTGTTCATCAGTGCGAATGCCTTGGTGGATTTATTGGCCTAAATTGTGAAACAAGTAAGTTATTTGCACCAGAAGGTCTATCCTATCCAAACTTATCCATTTAGTTGTTTCGGACTAGACTTTGTGAAAGACAACAATCATGGCTAATCGTTATCCCATAATTTATCACCAGTTGCATTGCAAGTTAAAACGAGGATCCTGATCAGACACACATTTACCTGTGAAATAGGTCTGATTGTTAGCAATCTGCTTAGGTATATGAAATTTATCGGGTTACAATGTTTACTGTTTCTTTGAAAAATTGAATTAGTTGAGGAAAACTGTCTTTTACAACTCCATGTGATCTATGATAATGTTCGCTAATCTTCGTATACTAACAGCCTTTTTCAGAACACACTTTATTAACAGGAATATTACTGGTCATAGATCTAGGGAAAGAGTTGTGTAGCAGCGTACTGTAGAAAGATATATCACTTTTAGTTACAGCGAACCAATCTGGAATCATATCTGTACTCTACCTCGTATTTCTAAACTATCGTACTCTAAGCATTTTTATATTTCATGCAATTAGTTACAGTATTTGAAGAGAACTATTTTACATTAATCTGAGCTTTATCAATTCACTAACATTTGTATCCCAGCATGCATGACAAGCTATGATTCAGTGAAGAAGACTTGATCAAGTTATCCGTTCTGCCAATGATAGTTTGATCATGTATCACGTGATTTTTACCTGCTGATCAAATTTTTTGATCATGTCTCACTTGAACGATTTTTGCCGGCGCGTTTTTCATTTTCGAGCATTGTGCTCTGTACTGAGCGACTTTTCGGCATTTTCAAATTTTCGGGAGCAAAAAAAAAAAGTTGGGCCCCTCCCCTAAGAAATCCTGGATCCGCGCCTGCGTTCTGCTACATTGGGTTTGCGTCATCATGTTTTGACATTCGATTGTTTCTTATACTCCTCTGTCGTTCTCCTTTTATCTCCGCCATAGACCTAGCAGGAATATTTTATTCCGTTCCATTGGAGAGTCACATAAATAATGTAGACGGACTGAGCAGTCGTTTAGAAGACCTGATATCCTTGGCCCTAGGTCTAGATGATAACACAGCAGAAGTTAACCTCTACAACATATCACATAATGTTGCTGTTACTGGGTGAGTAGGAAATATCTTATTCAAATAGGTTCTCCTTACTCCCCCCTTTCTCTCTCTCATATTGATATGAATATTAACCTACATGAATTTCGAGTTGATGTAATCGTTATGTTCAGTTAACGATCTAGTATAAATAGTTACTAATAATTTATGGTGAACTTACATTCTAATCAAAACTGTATTGCATTATTTAATCAATTAAAAACTCTTTCTCCTTTTATTTCTACTCAGGCAAAAGTATACTGATGTAGGTTTTTATTCCTACCTTGATGGAAACTTCGCGCAAAGCTCAGACATCGAAGCTGGCCTATACACTCTTGATATTTCAACTCAGAACGCAATAATTTCTCCTTTCAAAATATTTGTTCTTCGTTATCCAACGACATCCTCTCCGACAGTGACTCCGACAACCAAATCTGACGGATCCTCTCCCAACAATAGCCTTCTGGTAATGTACCACTTTGTGCGTTAGTTTTAGTCACGATACAACTGACACGAGTTTCATGAAAATTATGACTTTATGTAAACATTTGGCATGTAAATATTTGGTAAGCTAGAAAACTACTACATATGACATGAACATGCAAACGTATCATGTGTTTGTATTTGTGTTGGTCATTCTTCTTCATGCTATTCTTTCAAATATTAGAGTCTTAACTGTAGCAAATCTTTGCTCGGAATACTTCAGTCGATGAAAACAATTATTGTCATTGAAGAAACATGATTGTTGCAAGTTAAGGGTATTGAATGGAATGTGGACATATTTCATATTTCGTATCTGGTCTTTTATTGATAATTGATGAAGACTGAAGTCTTAAACTAGTTCCTTATTGAGCTGTATAACCTGATAATTATTTGTATTAATAAGCTATTGGATAACAAATTCGAGGTCCGTTCTGGTCATTTTATCAATCAATGGAAATTTTGTGTTATTGTCCGACCTCTATCTTTTGATTTAGATTGGAGGTGTCAGGATACCAACATGGATACTCTTCTTAGTTATCGCTCTTGTAATCTTGGTCATAATCATGGCATTAACCGGAGTCATGTACATCAGAAGGTGATTAATCATACATTGAATATTACCACATATTCCCCTGTTTGAAGTTATCAATATTATTATCTTCATCAGTATTATTATCTTCATTCCCAAATACATTGCCTAATCCCTTAAGTCATACAATGTTCTTATGGTCCGATTGTTTTACACAGGGTTCAAACTTTATGCTATCATCCCCCTTCTTATTTGGCAGGAAAGTAAGGATTAACTTGATGTTCCCTAGGAAAAAACTAATGTTAAGGCTCCGATGCTGCTAATTCATTAAAGGGCACTACTACTGAATCTCAAGGAAATTGCATTAATATAATTTTATATCACGAATCTTGTACTCCTAAATACTCTTGATATTTAAATATCATGAAATAATTATGTATGTGTTTAAGAACCATCCACTTTTGCATATTAAACGCTTTAAAGAAAGATCGCAAGCTTTATATTAATCCAAAATAGTATTACAATCCTATTCATCGAGGATTGTTTTATGAGAAAATGTTTAATTTCAGATAACCACGGTCCACAAAATGAACACTCTTTCATGGACATCAGGACAACCAGCTTGTGAAGGGTCGAAATATGTTTTGATCTGTTGAAAGAACCCACCCAGTATACATTCATATGGCCTTCCTAAATGTTTCTTTTGTTATATGACATTTTGATAATTATAAAATTGTGCATATTTAGTATTGCAATTATTTTTGTATCAGTGAAGTACTCCCAGAAAAAAACACACATTCAGACGGGTTTGTTGTTGTTGTCGTTGTCTTTATACAGGACAAAAAGGAAGCGAGATATGGACGTACCAGACGCATTAGCGGGTGCTACGAGTCAAGACTATCTTGCAGGTGGTGTCCAAAACTCGATGATGGGAAGAAAAGCTAGTGGTTATGAATCCAGAATCATCCCCATCGTTGATCCTAATGGCATATCGATAGCGTATGATAATCCCATTTATAGCGAGATGGACACTCCGGAGCTAGCCCATCCCTATACCTCTGGAGGCTCTACCTGCGACGGAGAAAGTAATCGAAACCATGCAACAGAAAACATTTACGCCTAATGCCTCATAAAATCGACATGAGAACGTACTGCCGAGTAGAGATAAACGTTTTTGTTGTTTTATTTCAGCAGGATAAAACAGGCCTTACAGCATGTATTAATTCAGCAATCATATAGTTTATCTGTACACTCGTATGCTCCTATGATATCGATGAATGTCTTTTTTTTTTACAACTCTTTAAACATTTGTCTTCATGAGCTCGGAAATTATTTTCTTCCAGTATATGTGTTGATTAATGATGTAAATTTTCAGTACATATTTTAGATGTGAGATAAAATATATAGATAATTAATATGTACAAATTTTGTATTGCCATTGCCAACTTTTTTTTCTATCAAGAAAGTTTTTACTAAGTTTTATGACTATGCTATTTCACGTATATCTCAGGTTTTCCTCACATATTTTCCCTCCTTGTATTCAATGCAACTAGTTTTAGAGCCGGGTTCCTGCATAAACAGTTCTGTGGTTTGTTGATTAAGGAGGCGCGATGGTTCAGTGGTAGAGCGGTGATCTCGTAACCAGGAGGCACTGGGTTCCAATTCAGGCGCTCGTGCCCTTTGGTAAGGTATTACTCCTCATTAGAGGACTTGAAGCCGTCCGTCTCCTGGCTGCTTACAATAATATAGTGCTTTCTTAGCAGTCAGGTAAAACAATCATTAAACATCAACATTTTACTAGGAACTTGAAAGCCTTCGTCATTTGAATGACAGCGAACTTTTCACCAACTTTAAATCTTAACAGGACTATTATAGGTAATAATTACAAGTAAATTCAAAGTCACCAGTGCAGTGCTGTTTATCTGGAAATAACAAGCAATTTTCATCAGACATAATTTGTATATCTGAATATTTGTAAGTAACTTTATGCAGCATTATTCCTTCTTGTTATTAAACATACCGCCTACATTTATTGAGTTTTATGTCGATTAAACATAGGGTGATAATTGTATCGATTTTGTATCATGTGTCTATGCAGATCGCATTGAAAACGTTTGGTATGCAGGTGTACAGTTTAAAGATTTCTTTCATAACTGGCTTGACAGATATTAATTATCATTTCATGAATTTAAAATTTCTAATTGAGCAGAACATTGCCATTATAAATTATGCACATGATATACTTTTTATGTTAATCTAAGAACTTTGCCATTTTTTCTTCTTCAAATATAAGATGTTCTTTAAAAATGTATATCTATACACGTTGGCATCTTTGTAGCGTGATCGTGGTTTGCTTTTAGTACGACTACCTTCTTGAACGATAATGCTGTCAAAGATCTATATCGATGTTCCATTTATTATTACCTTTATATGCTTTTGTTATTACTCTTTAAGAAGAAAAAAGGGGGTTTTCATGGAGCAGTCAATAGGAATTCATAAAAAAAAAAAAATTGATGTTTTGCCACTGTATATAATCATATTCTGAAATATTTCAATGTATAACCATGCACTTATCATATTGATGTATATTTTCTATCAGAGATGCTTATGCTACTTTATTTTTCTTTTCTACATGACAAATTGATAATGAATGAAATGCCATTGTGTTAGATAACCAGTGGCTTATAACGGGATCCGCATTAACATTGTTTTGCCTTGGATGCAGGATTTGCATTCCTTTTCTTTTAGGTTAATTCAAACTATCCATACATAATTTTGTTATGTTGCGGAAGAAGTTGCCTTTTTCGTAATAACCTTTTTAGTCCTCACGATAAATGAAATGAAAAAACTTGTATCTTCTTTCTGACAATATGTTCAATGTTTTTTTTTAATACAGCTTTATAAGGGAGTTTACAGATAGCACATGGTACAAATGACCCCAAATATCCACAGATCTTTTACACATGGAGAAGTTCCACTTTGAGCATATCAGAATAATAACTGCCAAAGTCCTACATGTGCTTTATGAATACTTTTTGTTTGCCCTCTTGAAAAGAATACTTCCACCTGCGTATCATAGAATGTACCGTTGGTGCATAAATGAATAATGCTACATAACTTTCATGAGCGCATATCCAGTATTCATCTCAGTGGGTTTTACCTTTTTGGTACAAATGACCTTTATCTGCCCATGCGCAGATTGTATCTGTAAACTCCCTTATTATAGACGTTTCTTGTCTCTCAATACTTGTATGTGCAATTTGAATAGAATACATTTTATTCTTCTTTCTTCATTTTTGTTTGTAAATCAAACATTTCGAGATGTCACCTACTTATGTCGAGAAGTGTATTGTTTAGTAAAACCTAGTAAAGTTGATTAGTAGTACGAAACAAAAGTGAACAAAAATATATATTTTTATTTACAAACGCGAAATGAATTGTTGCATGAGGAAGATGAAGGTAAAATAAAAAGATAGATGAACAAAAATTGAACAATATAAAAGTGTTAAATGTGGTTGTTTTAGATCAAGTTGCTGGAATTAATGAATAATGAATTTAAAGCAAGGTGACTAAGATGTATGAAAAATGTGTAAGGAGCTCTGCAATTGTTAAATGTGTGGAAAGAAAGTGATAGAGTGGCAGATGAGAGACGCATGAGAAAGGGGGGGGGGGTGGGTATGTATATATGAATAATAATAATGGTAAATAGAATGGACAAAGTGAGTGAATCTATTACATGGGCACCTTGTCTACAAGTTGGTTAATGATTTTTAAAAAAAAGTTCCATTTAGGTTGTGATGAATAGTTTCTCAATTACACGTATACAAAACAACAAAAACAATATTATTACTACTTAGTACAACATTGGATAAACAAAAAATGCTGTCTCATGTTATCCGCCACTGGAATGATATAAACAATTGGAAATCTTCTTAGAAGACCTTCAGCAATGAGCAAGTGTAGACCTGCTATTGTGAGGCCTTATTACAATATGCTACTCTTCGCAGTTTTATTTTATTGTATATACTTTTTTCTCAAAGGGAAATCCAACCCAAATAGACAAATACTCCAAACTAAAGCAGAAAAATCAGAGAAGCAAACTGATGAAAGTTCGAATGTACGAAATTGGCTCAAGAGATAATGTCAATGTGATGTAGCCAATGCCGGCCTACTTTCCCATCTGCTCCATCATATAAAATGACTAAAATTTAAATTTTTCAAAAATTCAGGGCTAAGGAGGGTCTATTCTTATTAGAGGACCTATAGTAATATGATATCTATAATATATTTTGAGTAGTGACCTTACGAGAAAAAAAACAGAAATTAGTGATATTTTTTGTACACGACAAATGGGAGAGTAATCCACGTCGTACGTCATAATCCACTATCCAAACTACCAATTTGAGATTAGCACAGACTTAGTGATCTCACATTTCAAACATTCATAACTTCCTTATTATTGGTCTGATGTACTTCAAACTTTTGCCATTCTGTTTCTGTTATTTTTCTGCTTTCATACAAATCTACTTATTTACAAGGATTGGATTGCCTTTATCATTAGGCACAAAGAAACTAAATATTCAGCTCTATTCAATTGTTTCATTGTGCTAACCGTTCCCTGTTAAATATTGTCATATCTTTACGCTTGACAAGATTTCACCGTCAAATTGATTACTTTGTCCCCCACAAAACTGAATTTAGAATCTATTCATTTCATACAAATACACACGACCTAATACACAAGTTGGTATCCTACCGGTTTCGTACAATAAAAGTGGTTTGTTCAAGAAAGACACAATAGAGCTGCCCCGCGTTTGCCACACAAACAAGGGCATCACGTGGGCCGTCGAATAGAGTGTTTTCGAGATATTATCATGTCCGACAATATTGAAACCTATACAGCTGATATTTGTGTGGGGGAAGGTTATGATACATAATATTTACCCTTTTGGAGCGTTAAGGAGACATATACCAACGGTGTCGTTGTCAGAAGAGCGGATTATATACCCATGTGCAAAATGGATTGGTTGCTAACGGCATTATTACTGCAAACTGTGCTTCTGACAGAGGTGAGACCCTAGCAAAGAGAGTTAATTTTGTAATAAAGTAATACATAACTCAATTTAGTCTATTCGTAAAATGTTCCGAGAGTTCAGCCACAACATGTTATTATATGATGATCGGATTCAATGAGTGAGAAAAGTTCATAGATTAGTTCATATACTATGTTTACGACGAGTTTTGCAGGAGGATGCCGTTATTGCTGTTCGTTATTCATTTTGATGAAATTCTCTGCCCCCATTTATTTTAATCAACATTAGCTTTAGTTTTATCTGAAAACAAAGTTTATTTTAATGCTCCATGTTTGAACCACAAAGGCTGGAATAGGTTGACTGGTGTTTTGTAAAAGTGTTTTATCCTCTCTCTTTAATAAGCACCATGCGCTTCTAATTCCTTTCAAAACACTTAATCTATGTTATTGATGTGAAAATTCGAAACCTTGAATTGAAATTTACTTTAGTGAACATTTGACGGAAGTTACGAAGAAGTTACAAGCGAGAAAAAAACATAGTCGCGCTCAAATTCATGGTTGAAAGGAATTGATCACACTGGAGGTATATAAGGTTGGGTCTGGCATGAAGATTATTCTCTGAATCCGGGATGTTTCAAGCAAATTGGAGTAGTTTGAGTACGTCATGCAAAAAGGTAAACAACTGTGTGAGCGGCAAAATACACATATACGTGCAAAGAAAACAACTTTATAACAAATACATCAAATTATTTCCTGAATAATACCTAATATAACTATAAATGAGAATAAATCACCCATCGACATGCAGCGCATGCCGTACCTAATACTTGCACCTAGTACCTTGGCACACAATAATTACCCAGCGATAAGCTGGATAATCAGAGAAGCAGATACGTAATAGTTTGAGGGAATCTACCAATGGATGTTTGAAGATCATGCTAATCAACCACAAATTTGCCAGTCTTTGATTTCTATTGCGAGCAAATGTCCATGACTCCGTGTTAATAAAACACTCTATAGTTTAAATAGAAGCACCTGCACTTTAATATAGTGCAAGTTTCACCTAAATACATAAACAATATTAGTAATAACTATAAACCATTCTTGTAGAGTGCAAAGCACATTACATAAGTATGTCCACATGCGCTTGGATAGAAAAAAAGAAAAGAAAAGCAAAATGCAAACCGGTTTTATACTGAGTTCTTTTTATCTGTTTATGATTTGGAATAAGTGTTTTAAGGGCAGACTTAAACTAGTCTATTGTTTTAATGTTTCAAAGAGAGTGCTGATCCATAAAACTGGGGCAACATGGGTAAATGAATTAAGAAATCATAAGTACATATTTATTTAGGACATGTTTGCCCTTGAAAGAGTGGGGGGGGGGGGGGCACTGCGCCCCGACTCTCGAGCGCCATCTCTTAAACGAATGCATGTGAAAGCAATGGTAAATTTGTACAGTTTTACGACCAGTGTATGCTTATAGGATGACCTTGAAACATGTGCTTTGACGAAGAAGGAAGGAAAAATACCGGATATAATTCGGTGGAAAATAACATTAAATGAGATATGAGGGAATGAAATATGACATACAGAAGCACAAACATGAAAATACTCTGACTTCCATTTTCGATCATTTATTTTAATCTTAATTAAAATTTATTGCCACAACGAAAATGACAAATTGAGACCTGTTGTTTGATTCTAATTTTTCACAAAAGGTGACAGCTGTCGTTAAAGTTTCTATGAAACTAAAACGATATCAGAACCACGGTCATCACGAACTCGACGATGATTGCTGTGATCCTCAACCATGGATACTTTGGGACCCTTGTAACGACTGCGACAATCACTTCGAACTCTGTTTCGACACTATATCAAGGTAATCAGAGGGAAAAGAGATCTAAAACGTGTTGTATTATTCTATAATTAGGTATTGTTAAATGGAGGTATCTCTCCTACGACTGCAGCCAAAAAGAAAATAACCATCGACCATTGCCTGCACTTTCTGGTATGACTCCTATAGTCATGGCTTTATCAATATATATTTTTTTAAAGATGAAATAAATGTATGGCCTTACGGAATGGAACTATATGGGTTATCACAATTATAGTGATTAACATTTAAAATCAGGAGTCTATCCCTACACTTTATCATGATAACATTACCATACATACTCCGGCTGCTTTGCATTATTCATTAATACCATTTTGTTATAATTTCAGCGATTTAGATTTCCACACGTGTCACTATGAAAGTTTCAAGACAGAACGACTGTTTGCTGATGATGATGATTTCTACTTTCCTCCAGTACTGCGGGCGCCACAGAATACCTTTATCCCAAATCCTTTCCTCATCAATATTACAGACTGGCAGGTAAGCGATCATCCCTGAACTAGTTAGAAGTAAAATAGCAACTACACCAGTAATAGAGGTAGAAGTATAAGTTGTAGTAGTATTATTAGTAAAAGTACTACTAATAGTAAAAGTAGTATTACTATTAGTGGCAGTAGTAAAAGCAGTATTACTACTACTACTAGTAGTAGTAGTAGTAGTAGTAAAAGTTGTACTAATAGTAAAAATAGTATTACTGTTAGTGGCAGTAGTAAAAGTAGTAGTAGTAGTAGTAGTAGTAGTAGTAGTAGTAGTAGTAATTGTAGTAGTAGTTGTTGTTGTGGTAGTAGCGGTAGTAGTAGTAATAATAGTAGTAGTAGTAGTAGTAGTAGTAGAAGTAGTAGTAGTAGTAGTAGTTAGTGGTGGTAGTAGCAGTAGTAGTAGTAGTAGTAGTAGTAGTAGTAGTAGTAGTAGTAACGGTTGTTGCTGTTCGTATTGTTTTCTTCTTCTTCTTGTTATTGTTTTATTTGTAGTTGTAGTTGTATTTTTAATTGTACTAATAGCAGAAGCTGATGATTTAATATTTATATCATGATCATATTCAATCGATGACGTAGGAAGATTATATAAAATTGTCCAATAGATGTACCAAAAAAGGGATTTCCAATGTTAAATAATCATAATTTATAGTCACTTTCTATGTCCATTTTACAACATTAGTGATTACGATCTACTTAAATGGTAGCATTTTTAAGTCATAATTTAATTAGTGTGAATTTATCGAGGTACTTTATAGTCTTAAAGTTTCGTTGACCCTTGTTATTCTGTTGCTTTCACACTAGAGTAAATAGAAGTGGAGTCAGACACGAAACCAACAAAGCAATCGTGCGTCGGAAAGCCTTTTTGTCATAACGTGCAACTCGAGGCCATCCGATTTCATGCTGGCAGAGCAAAAATGCAAATAGAAATGAAACAAAGAATAATAGCGATCGGTTTGTTAATATTATTGATGTAAACGTTTTTAACGTTGATAAGGTTGCAAAAGAACAGAAAAGGGCGGAAAGAAAGACTTACCTTTGACTGACATTTGAGTAATGTTTCTATTTGATTTGATATATGTTCACCTGTATGAGCATCATATAATGCATGTCAACAGTATTTTGCCAACAAGTCACCGATTTTAGGATCATACCAAATAATAATCAAAGAAGATCAATAGACAAATTTTATGATTCTTTTGTAATTGGTAACGGGTGGGACAAATAATGAACAAACTACCAGTTTCATGAACATAGACATGATATAATCAGAAAGAAAATGCAAAAAAGTAACGGTATGAAAGATGGATTATTTATCTATAGATTTAGAATCTACCAAAGACAAACCATTACGGAAACGTGCATTTTTTTTCTTCATGTACATGTCGGAAAATGCTTTTTTAACTTGCAGAATGGATTTCGGACTAAGATCAAAGTTTTGGACTACGACCCACATAACAGTGATGATCTTATTGATGAGATTGGTTATAATTTCATGGACTCTGATTATCAACCGTCAGCAAGCCTTGGAAGTGTTTCGGATTGGAAGGAAATAGTACTGGATGGTGGACGTGGGCACGCCATGTAAGTCAGTACTCCTACTATCCCGCCCCCTTAAAAGTATATATTCCAATTATCGTCACTGTCATATATTTCTCCAAAGGCGGTATGGATGATCACCACTACATAATTCAAAAGTTATAATACAAATTGGACGTGAATTATGAGATAGTTAACAATTCATGCTTGAGAAACACATACTTAGGTGAAAAGATTTTCAACTTATCTTGAAGTCAGGTGTAACTTAAGTCTTTTTTGCGAGAACACTAGCCCTTGTTTCTGTAGCTACATGTACATTCTATTTGAAGGAAAGCATTACGTCTTAAATAATGACGTAGTATTCCCAAAGCGGTATGACATGTATTGACTTTCATTTATAACCATGAACTATTTCGTATTTTCTGGGTGCAGTCGTGGACAATATTTTCTTTCAATTCAGATTGTTTACCTTCTTTGCTAAAAAGGGTTCTTTTTCCTAAAAATTTCCAAAGCCCATTTTGCCTGATTCGTGTTTTCTATTGTTATAAACAAATCAGAATAACAGTACAGATCAAAGTCTACTGCGAGGAGCACTATTACAAAGCAGCTGAAGGTTGCAATACCTATTGTTTGGGGCGTGATGATGCCCTGGGACATTACGACTGTCATGACGTCACAGGGTCAAAGCTTTGCCACCCGGGTTATACAGGTCAAGACTGTGAACAGGTACAACTTCATGAAATGAATTCTATTTTGTGTATTAACCCTTCCTTTCCACTCCCTCTTACCTAACTCAACGTCTCTCTCTCTCTCTCTCTTGTTCTTTCCCAGCTCTTCTCTCTTCCTCTCTCACTTTCCCCAACCTTATTTCATTCCCTCTGTTTGTATCATTTCAATCTTGCAAACCTTTTTTTCTTTATGTACATATTATATAGCTTTTTATCCCGTTGAGCTAAATTGGTTTTGTATATATTTTTGATATCGAATATTGTTATCACATGTGTATCACTCGACTTTGTAGAGGTCAAGTCCGGCGTATTAATCTTTAATTATGCAATGAAATATCCTTTACTTTGCGCAAAAATAATCTTTGAATAAAACCTCTCATTAGCATTACTAAGTCTACTCGATTTCGTTAGTAGCAACTTCATAACATACATAATTTGGGGAATAGTATCTGCAGTTAACAACTTAATTATTCATACCCTTACCATTTTTTCATCATTTTTTAAGTATGTGAAAAATAGATTTAGCCCAATTTATGTTTCTTGAGAATGTGACATATTACAGCTCAAATCTAAAAGTATTTAACAAATGCCATAATTCAACGAGTACACCTTCATTGTGAGTTTTGAAATACACAAAAACATGATATTTACAAGGGGTATTAATAATTTAGTTGTTAACTGTATATAGTCTACGTGTAATAACATTTGAGTGAACAATTAAATTCAAGTCATCAGTAATTTTGAATCATTTCCTCTAACTTTATCGAAACTAGGAAATCAACGAGTGCAGCTCTAACCCATGCATGAACGGTGGCGTTTGTCGAGATCTCATGAACGCGTATGATTGTGAATGCCAAGATGGATCTTCAGGTATTCTTCTGTTTTCATCTTTTCTGTGGGGATTATTGTATGAGAAAATCTATGTACAGACTGGTAGACATGGTGGAGGGATGCAAGAACTGCACATGATCCCTAATTATGCAGATGGTCTTTATATAGAGGTTAAAACTAAAAGGAATTTGCTGAAGGGAAATATAAACTGTGCTGTATTTATAGATGATATTATTGTACTCTTTCTGTACTGTCTATCACCGAAACGGACTTGATTTTAATTATCGGTTTACATAACAAACTAAACATTATATTTCATTTCATGATTCAGCTAGATATGTTGCATGATATCAAATGCATCATTTTTGTTTTCATCAGAGACTAAAGGTTCATACAAACGTTAAGATATTCTAAGAATGTACAGATATCTTAAAATCCAATATGAATCAAACAAAACATGATGATAAGGATTAACACTATGTGATGACCTATTGATTATGTTAACAATTCATTATTATGACTCTTTTCAGGCACAAACTGTGGAATTGATTTGGATGAATGTGAGAGCAACCCTTGTGTAAATGGAGCGACCTGTAAGACGCTTGGTACAGCTCTAAATTTCTACCAATGCTTGTGTGTCACAGGCTATGATGGTGTGAACTGTGAAACTGATATTGATGAATGTGCTTCTACTCCATGTCAGAATGGTGCTACATGTACAAACCGTCTAGGCTCCTACGAATGCACATGTTTGCCAGGGACACTGGGTGAGTCATTTTTAATTCTTCATTCAATTAATCCATTCGTACTTCCGTTTTTTTTTACGATATCAGATGTTTAAATCAAGTCTTGGCAAAGTTTGGGGAACTATTTTCGCGTCTTCTGCAGTAGGCTACTTGTCATCACTTTACTGACATTCAAATTCAAAGTAACATTAATTTCATTTCAGATTGTTTTCTTCTTTATATTGAATACTCAAATAATATTATGTATATATAATGACATTATTGTTTTTGAGAGGATAATAATACATAAAAGAAGCAAATTATATTACTACGCTGAACATGTTCAACAGCGAATTTAAGATGTAAAATAGCTGCTGCAAAGTCATTCAGAAGTGTTTTAGCACTGAAAATTAATATAGAAATATTTTGAACCTTGAACTACCTCCCCTTTGGGAAGCGAGTATGTAATAAAACAGTTTAGCTTGAAAAATTGCGGTAGGTCTAAATAATTCTCAGTGTGTTTTACATACACTATTATTGTGGAGTTTAATAAGAGGACGGGAATTTTAGTATGGTGAAAAAACAAGTGTGCACGATAACTACAAACTGTTGGTTTCTTGAGATTTATCAAATAAATAAATCCGTTGTAATTAAATATATCCGTTGTAATAAACCCCCCTTGTCTCTCTCTCTCTATATATATATATATATCTCTGTTTGTCTGTCTGTTAGTCTCTCTTTCTCTTTCTATCTCTTTTTCTCTCTATCTTTATGAATATATATATATATCTTTAAAATAGCGTCTTTCTCTGCCCCCCGTCCCTGTGTTTCAAAGTGTCCCTGTCTCTAGCTCTCTCACAGCTTAACTCTTTGGTAATTCTCTCCTAACATAAATGTATTCTCTTATTCTCACATCCTAGGACCTCGTTGTGAAGTTGATGTTGATGAGTGTTTGGATCAGCCTTGTCTGAATGATGGCACATGCACTACATCCCCGCAACAGCTCAATTCTTATGACTGTACATGTCGTGAAGGCTTTCTAGGAATAAACTGTGAAACCAGCGCAGACGAATGCATGTCCAATCCCTGCCAAAACGGTGGAAGCTGTACAGATTTGGTGAATGGCTATAGATGCGAGTGCCTACCAGGAACTGATGGTGAGTGGCGATATCAATGTATTACGTAATGAAAATTAAGATTTGAATAGGGTATAAACATGTGTGGAGCGCCAGGAGTGTCAAGTTCGACAGACATGAGCGTTATACAACAACCCACTTTTATTATTATATATTTCCATTGTTATCCAATATGATATACAACTTTATGAAAATTATCAATATTTGACGTTAAAAGCATAAACATCTCGTAAGATCTTTGTGAAGAAATACACGTATTAGTTAAACCATAATATTTGATAATCTATTAATAGAGGCTTGTGTATTTACATATAATAATGTTTTTCTTTCAAAATGGCAATTTCAAAATCATATTTCACCCTTTTCGATCTCTTTCTTTCTCTCTCTCTCTCTATCCAATCTAATGTGAATACAGGTGATACTTGTGGAAATGATATCGATGAATGTCTCAGTTTCCCTTGCCAACATTCCGGCACCTGTATGACCCAGGCAGGACAGTTCAATACGTATGAATGCATCTGTCAGGTTGGCTTCGAAGGTGATGTTTGCGAAGAGGATGTAGACGAATGTACGTCAAATCCGTGTGCAAATGGAGGGTCTTGTGCAGACCTGGCAGCGTCTTTCCGATGCGAGTGTCCTCAGGGTACCAACGGTAAGCTATGGGCCATGTAGAGGCATTATGTGAAAATTGCTCAAGCAGGGACTTAACTCTCTCTCTCTCTCTTTCTCTCATCTCTCTTAATTTGATAACATGAAAAAGGGCCTTAGCTTAAGAAGCTCCTGAAAATCACTTCTTCTCTCCCGTCATCATATTCCTATATCATCAAAACACTAATTAGATAAATGTTCCCTTGACCGAATGTCTTTCTCAGAATAACTCACTGGGTATTTACTAAAACCGACCATTGTCAATTCCTTCCTACTCAAATACAGGTCTTCGCTGCGAGGTCAATATAGACGAGTGTGATAGTGACCCCTGTGAGAATGGAGGAACATGCATCCATCCAACTCAAGAGCTAAACACATACCAATGTGATTGTTTAGAAGGGTTTACCGGTGAACGCTGTCAGAGCAACACAGATGATTGTAACATAAGACCGTGCCAAAATGGAGGAACATGTACCGATCTCGTCAATACATATCGATGTGAATGCCCTGCTGGAACCAGCGGTAAGACGATTAATCCAGTTTTGAATGTCTATAATTTTGTTCATAATACGATACATTGTTGGTAATGGAAATCTGAGAAATTATAGTTTAAATTGTTCTCCATGACAATCTTTTGTGATCTCCTACGTTTGTGTTGTTTTAAAAGTATCTTTAATAAGATGGAAATAAATGCGTCACTGTGTATGATTGTGTGCGTCATTTTACTTGCAGGTCTTAACAGAAAACGAATACGTTTATTTATGCCGGATTCATAATTACCGTTTTACAGGCAGTGATTGCGAAACTGATGTCGATGAATGCAACTCGAATCCCTGTTTGAATGGCGGTAGCTGCTCAACCTTATCCAACGAACTGAACGCTTACCAGTGCGCCTGCACCTCTGGTTTCATTGGTCCGACATGCGAGGGACATGTATGTGACGACAATCCATGTGCTTCTGGATCAACTTGTGAGTCGATTGGAGGGCAACCTACATGCGTATGCAAACCAGGATACCAAGGTGAAACATGCCATGATGATATCAATGAATGTGAAAATCACCCTTGCCTAAATGGTGCAACTTGTATAGATGATGTGAACTCGTTTCGCTGTAACTGCACTGAGGATTTCAGTGGTATTGACTGCTCAGTTGATACGAACCTCTGTCGCTCTCAGCCATGTTTTAATGGGACTTGTATGAACCTCAACGATGCCTTCTCCTGTCTGTGTATGGATGGGTATACTGGACCTATGTGTGAAACTGATATTAATGAGTGTGTAAGTAACCCTTGCAGAAATGGGGGATCGTGTACAGATTTGGTTAATAACTATGCATGTACTTGCATCGCTGGATATGAAGGAACATTCTGTGAAAATTTGACCAACAATTGCGCTGCATATCCCTGTAACAATGGTGGCACGTGTGCGAATGGGCTTGGAACGTATGCTTGTAAATGCTCCAAGGGTTTCATGGGCTCCGATTGTGAAACACAGATTGATGAATGTGTGAGCTCTCCGTGTAGGAATGGAGCTACTTGTAGTGACGTAATCGCTGGCTACGTCTGTAACTGTGTCACTGGTTTCTCTGGTACACATTGTGAGATCAATGACGACAACTGCGTTTTTAATCATTGTCACTACTCATCTACCTGTGTTGATGGAACAAATGATTACACTTGCTCTTGCGCGGAAGGATACACGGGTAGATATTGCAACACGAACATAGACGATTGTGTAAATATACATTGTCAAAATGGTGCGACATGTATAGACAAACTCAGCAATTATACCTGTTCTTGTGCGCTTGGATACGAGGGTGATTATTGTGAGACCGATATTGATGAATGCATGAGCAACCCTTGTAGGAACGACGCGCAATGTACAGACATGGTTTATGGCTATCATTGTGCGTGTAAACCAGGTTTTACAGGGGTAAACTGTGCCACCAACATCAATGAGTGTGTGAGTAATCCTTGCAAGTATGGAGGGACATGTATTGATAGCAGGAACGGTTTCATTTGCTCTTGTGTTCCGGGGTATAGAGGACCTACGTGCATTCTGAGCTCAAACGACTGCACCAATAACAACTGTGTGAACGACGCAACTTGCATTGATGACTTTCCGACCTACAGGTAAAACAAGAAATAAAAATAACAAATCAATAAATAAATGAATGATTGATTAAAACAGATCTAACTTGAAAAGCTATAGACATCATCTTCAACACTTTAACATGTTTCATAATTATTAAGAAGATGTTGAGAGTTTAAAAGATCATCAGTTGAAGCTCAATATTTCGAACGTGTAGGTCTTTGGTTGATAAATGTAATACATTGTATTTTAGTGATCTACAATAATTATTGTTGCATATAATATTCATTTATTCCATGATTGTCATGATTAAACTTTGTATTATTGAGCTTGAATATTCTTCATCGATTATGATAATCAGCAGCTCTTACGTAATTTACTGGATGACTAATGCTATGTACTTTTGTGAATCCCGTTTTTTAAAAATATTTTGTATTTCGCCTCTTAATTGATTCCCTATTCCAGGTGTCAGTGTCCTCCTGGTTACCATGGGGATCTATGTGAATCCGATGTTGATGAATGTACACAATTTGACAACGTGTGTCCACCTGGATCAGCGTGTAGCAATACCATAGGAGGATACGAATGTGAAGAAATACCAGTCGAAGAAGTTCCCCCGAGCGGCATCTGTCAGACCGAAATGTGCAGAAATGGCGGAACTTGCTCGCTCTACAGAAATACCTACGTGTATGATACCGATGAGTTTCCCTTTTTGTAACAAATCCATCTATCTTTCTCTTTCTCTTTCTCTCTTTTTTTTCTCTCTCTCTATCTCACTATTTCTCTCTCTCTCTCTCTCTCTCTCTCTTTATCTCTCACTTTCTCTCTCTTTTTCTTTTCATCCCTCTCTCCTTCTCTCTTTGTTTTCGACATTTAAATGCATGTTTTTCCTGTTTTTTAATCTTCATCTCATTTTCCTTGGTAGTAATCGCATTGATTGACGTAAATGCAGATTCAACAAAAATCATGAATATTTTTCGATTATGCGGATTAAAAGAAATTAAATAACGATTATTCGCTAGGGCTAATATAATATTGAGTAAAGCTGGATCTCTGTAAGTATTTTGGAAAGTCAATATATTTTTCTACTGATTTGAAGTGTCACTACAATCATTTATAACGAGGACATAGGAATTTAAGAGGTGCAAGTCCGGTGCAAAATAGAGTCCATCCTTCTTAAATGAACCGTTTATTACATAAGTCAACCAGAAGTCAGCATAAACGACACCCAATAAATGGGAAGAATGAAATAAATTAAAATATCACTATTTGTCTTTTTTTCCCTTCTTCATATTCACAGATGCGATTGTCCAGAAGAGTTTAGTGGAGATCTGTGCGAGGTGCCCACGATGTTTGACTGCGCTATTTCCTTGTGTCAGAACAGTGGCACATGCGTCAAAACCATCGAGAGTGATGGCAGACAAACTTCAAGATGTGACTGTCAAGAAAACTATATCGGTACTACATGTGAGACAAGTAAGTATTAGTCTTAGCTCGGTAAATCAAAAGTTATGTGAATCTCCATATAGATATTCAAAAACACAAAACTAAAGAGATACATTTTCTTAGGAATTGAACAATGAATTGGTATACTTTGCCTTACGTTTGCATATTGGATAAAGACAAAATACGGGTAATTACAAATAGCTTTGAATGTCAATACATGCGATTCTGCAACTATTAGTATTTGAATGTCAACAGGAAACTGAACATGCTACATGGAGGAAATCAAAGGATAATTTTTGTTAACCTTTACAAAAAAACTCAGGACATCAAGACTGACTATTTTGACACCGTCGTGGATATCTTCTCTTATCAAAACTTACCTGCCAACTGAGGATTATGGGGTGGGGGGGGGGGGGGTCTGTTCGGGGGGCAGAAGTGGATTAACATACCGCACTGATTAATGTAACTTGATCCAATGTCCTATTCGCATTTATCTAGTATTCAGCTCTTCGAATTATATTTTGTCTGTATCATGTATATCCAGCCTGTCTACGCTCTAAGTGGAAAAATCTAGAGAAAATTAGACCAATAATAGGCCGCATGGACAGACGACGAATTGGATGCAGAAGAAATGCGATTAGATCATGGTAGTTTAGAAGAAATGTCGCTACGCATTATCAAGCAGCATAGGATTAAACAGGATTAAGTTCGCCCATCATAAAATTGATCGATGCTTCTACTAATGTTCACCTTCCTCATTCCTCATTCGTGATGATAATGATTTCATTGGAATCGAATTTCTTTCACTTTTCAGATTTGCTAGGAACTTTCTACGCCATCGAGCTCGAAGATCATATCCAAAATTTCGACGGTCTCACCAACAGATTGAGTACTCTTCTAGGGATAGCACTCAACCAGTCTAACTCCATCATCACTGTTATACTCTACAACAGTACTTATCGTACTGCCTATACTGGGTATGTCATGTAGGACTATTTAACCACGAGGAAGTATAGACTGTTTAATCACAGCAACAACACAACAATTTGTAATCGCTTTTGTTTTTTCTGAAAATTTTAAACCCTTTTTTTTATATAGTACATCAAAAATTGAAACATTACATAAAATTATTGAACTGCGCACTCACTCCCCTTCTCTTTGATGTTACACTAGGAAACTCATAGTATTTGTAATTCATTTTTTCATGAATTATTGTTCAATGACATGACTGAGAAGCAATCTGATTTACTAATGTGTTTCTATGTGGCATGTCTCGGATTAAAGGATATCAAGAAAATATTTTCTCTAAATGATTTTAACAGCATTGGTCATTGATGTTTTATAATAACACATGTATTTGGTCTTCTATTTAACTATGTTTCGCATTGCAGGCAGAACTACACAGCAGTAGGGTTCTATGCCTACGTTGAAGATGACATAGTGTCGAATGAGAATATTTCTAGAGGGCTTTCGGCTATGAGCATTGAATCTCAAGATTCTATCATTCAACCTTTCAAGATCTTCGTTCTAAGGGATAGAGGAAAACCCGACGCGCAGGTAGGAACCCGTCCAAACCCACCCTCCGGTTACAACCCCCTTTCTATCTCCCTATATATATATATATATATATATATATATCTTATCTCTCTGTGTCAGTCTCTCTCTCTATCTCTTTCCCAGTCTCTTTGTCTTTCTTTATCTCCTCTCAGTTCCTCACTTCTCCCGGTTCTCTCCTCTCTCTCCTTCTCTCCTATATATATATATATATATATATATATATCCCTCTATCTATCTCTCTCTCTTTATCTCTCTCTTTATCTCTCTGTCTCTCTTTCTCCCGCTCTATGTTGCTCACTCCCATCTATTCATAACACTATCTCCTTCTCTTTCTCCCTCTTCTCTTTCTCTCTCCTAGTATGTCGCCCCTTAGCCTCCATTTCTTTCCATCTTCGCACACTCTGTCCTCCACTCTCTGGCCCTCCTCCCACTCATATATGTTTTTTTTTCCCATCAGCTCATTTCTCCGATTTGTTTTTCTGCTGGATATCTATCTCATGTGCAATCACTCAATATACTTCCTTTAGTTTATTTAGTCTATCAGTTATTGTCTTCTCTTAATTGTCTTCCTGTTAGTATTTGATGGTAGTTAGCTTATATGCAAGAGTGCTATCTTACATGCACGAGACTGACACATATGTCAAGCACTGCATGGTCAAAATCTACATTTTGTAAAAGCAGTACCGGTAATGGTTTGTCATCACCCTCAAAATATTCTTACTTGTAATGTCACTTCCGAGTCATTTATTTATTTATTCATTTAAATGACATATTTACACAAAGTAGCATGTTCAGCTAGCAAACAATAATTTAAACGCAAATAATTAAAATGCAAAACATATAATACATGAACAATGATTTATAAGAAAAGTGAATTTACGAAGCACATATAAAACAGCTGGCCTTCTCCATGGCTCTGTTTACATTATGAAAAGAACAATTACATGAAATATAACGTACTTAACTCAAATTCTTGATGGTAAAATGAAAAGAATGATTAATAAAGGAGACTGAAATCTTATTTGAAGAGTGTTTCATACGGTGTTTTTAAGATTGGATACGAAAGCCTTTATCTCAGCCGTGGAACGCTTATATTCGGATAGGTGATTCCAGTTGGTTGGACCTGTACACATGAATGACTTTTGATAAAAATGTAGTTATACATGTGGGTATACCCTTAACATAATCTTCTTTGGGTGTCTTGTAGTACGTGTCGATACGTCCTATATAGAATGGAATGTAGCGCATAATCAGACCAACCATTTTTGAACATCTTCATGTAATATGGCATTGAAGGAACTGTGCTAGGTGTGAAATAGGCTGATGTGATTTTATGACTTTCTTGCAGACGGGTGGAGTTCAATCGTGGATAATCGGTGTGGTGGTCATACTCGTCATCATCGTCCTCGTCTTAGTCATACTTGGGGCTGTGTATGTCAGAAGGTACTCAATTATACTGCTGTGATTTTTGGTTTTTACTAATATATCCATATCACGACATGAAAGCAAAATGCAGTCATTTCCGGAAACGTGATATTTTGATTGCCCTGTCAAGCTTCATATAAGAGAGAGTCCGTGAAATCTATTAATTGAAAGCTTTACGCAATAGACCGAATATGGGATTATTTTTCGGACAGAGTACATACACATTAGTTTTGATCATGAGATACATTTTACCTATGTCTTGAGGCAGTACTTCAATGATCGCCAAGTTATCCTTGCATTAGTTGATAACATTGTGCTCACTATTAATTTCCTCCTCGATGTAATGGCATTCATCTCCGTTTATACCTTTTCATAATTATATTTCAGAGTTCGTATACGCCGCAAGATGGCTGTACCTGATTCGGTGGCAGGATCGGCAGGGTTCACCAGCAGGAGTGTGTCGGTCACAGACTCCATGGCAGCGGCGATGGGTGCTGAAGCAGATCGAACAGGGTTGGTCAGAGCGTCTTCGGTAGACCAAACCATCTTCGATAATCCCGTCTATGAAGAGGTTCCAGACCCTAAACGAGGGGCTTCTGGGTATCCAGAGAGAGATGATGTGCATCCCCCTTCAAGACGGGCTGTAGATAATGTATACCATGACTTAGATGATGGAACAGTCTATATGAATAGCATAATCCGGAAACCGTAGAGCACCAGTTTATGTGTTTGATTCGATTGCCTTAATCAATAGCATATTAAATTACTTCCATTGAATTATATTGAATAGTAATAGTGATAGTAATACATGTATGTACAGCGCCATGAGCGTCAGAGCCTGGCGGATACCGGCGCTATATAAATATCCATATATTATTGTTATTATTATTAATATATTTCGAGGAGGAAAAACAGGCGTATAGCCAATTCCAGCTGTTTTAAAGTAAAAAAAAACCCTCAACGGTTCTTTTATGGTATTCTGATTGTGTAAAAGTGCATTAGATTTACAAATACACAACTAAAAATGTGATTTTAGCTTGGAAAAATAAAGTCACAGTAAATTATTGAATTAAAATATCATAAGAAACGAGAAGAAAAAAACAACAACATCGTCTTGAACACAATTCACATTGCTTTTAAATGAGTTCAAATTCGGTCATATTTTCATTCACATTCCATATTACAGTTTAAATACACTGTATCAGTTTATAAAAAAAAATCATCTTATTCGATATACCTTTTGATACGGCTGACACGACATACATCTTTAATACAAATATTTGACATGACCATGTTGCTCTTGTTATTTTCCGATTTATGATTCACAATCTAATGTGGCTTACTTTGGACACAATATACATGTACCACAAATAATATGTATATTGTAATAAATGCTTACTTTGGCCATAATATACATGTACTACAAATAATAATTATATGGTACTAATGCTTTAAACTTTGGGCATAATAAAAATGTACTACAAAATAATAGTTATATTGTAATAAATGCTTACCTTGGTCGTAATATACATGTACTAAAAATAATTCATAAATCATATACAAAAATTGAATATGATAATAATGCTTTAATACATTGCGCATTATAACAAATACTAAAGTAATACAAAGTTTTGGGAAATTTTGAAAATTGGGTGGATAGTGAATCTTTACAATTTTGAATATTTGGATGCCCCTTTGGATGTATTATAAGCACTAAAAAAATTAGCCTCTAAAACACTTCTGTTTTCGAGAAAAATTGAATATAAAAATTTACCGGTGCTCCCGGTAAATTTTGATAAATTTCAAATAGCGCCTATGGCCGTACAATGGTACGTACGCCCATGAAAATCTCAGAATATGTCAGAATATGTAGTTGTGATATATAATTTCCAAACGGGAATAGCTAATCGGTCGATTTTGGTCAAGAAATATTGTTTTATAGCCTAATTAGTATCTTGACCTTGAGAGGGAGCTATACAACATAAAGAGTTTATTATTTATATTTCATAACCGTAGACTCGATTTCAACCGCGACAACGATCAATAAAATATTGTAGGAACGCATATTCTTCCAATATGTTAATTTGAACCAAATTCATGACCCCATACCAAAACTTTTTAATACCTTTAAATTGAAATGGACTACATACATTCAACCATTTTTGTCAACGAGTCACCCTTTGCCCATTTTTAGAATTGTAAATATTTTCTCTTTCTAAGGAAAGAAATAAGTCCTTAAATTGAAATGGATTACATACATTCAACCATTAAAAGTGTACGTAAAAATAAGAATATCTTTCGAATTTCGTAAGGGAGGTGAGGTATAAAGTTGATATGAAGTCAAAGATGTCAACAGTGAGAGCTTCCAGCAGTGAGGGCATTAGTAAGAATTACCCACACAAGGTACCTTTGGAACAGTCTAACACGCCCGAGGCGGAAACCGAGGGTGTTTGGTCTGTTTTGAAGGTACCGGTGTCGGTAATTTTTATTTATTTTTTATTTATTTTTTTTATATTTTTTTTTTTTACTAATGTCCGAACAAAATGCTGTGTATTAATTTGTTTGTATAAGATTATGGTTTATTTTGTATATAACAAGATGTTTTATTACATGATTGTATTAATGACCGGTCATAAGTATACAAATAATGAATGCTTATGAGTTCAACAGTGCGAATATTTCAATGAGTTGAATAGAATTAACGTTAGTCTTTAAACGAATGAAAATATTCGAACTATTGAACGAATGAAAAACATTCATTATTTGTTTTCCAACATCGAGTAGATCTAATAGAATGTTAATCTTTCAACAAATTATGCTTGCTCCTTATATTAACCTGCCATAAAGCTGCATGCACCGCTACCATTATAAAATTGGATAATGACCGGTCATTATCCAAATTACGCGTTAGGCCAATAACGCAAGGTCACGTGTACGCTTTAAACCAATCGTTTGATTAGGATTCACGTCGTCATCTTATAAAACGTCTTAATCAAGTGACAATTAGCTTTAACTAGTTTGTGTTATGAATGTTATGAACACATGTTT